TCTCGGGGCCTTCTTTCTCATCCTGTGAGTGTACTCGTGTCCGCTCACCACTGGCAGTGTGTTGATTTGCCGCCTCCCATACAACCCCCATCACAGGCTTTTCCTCCCATCAGGCCCCATGCTGGCCCAGAAAGAAGCCGAGTCTCTAAGTAACATGTCGCATTTACCTTGTTTGTGTTTCTAAGCCCAAGAGAAGTCTGCGCAGGGACTTCCGCCTCAGAACCCTGGTGGAGGAGATGAGAGCTTTGCGGGCAGGTGGGCACTGTGAAAAGGGCTACTTTCTGGGCAACCCCTGCAGACACCTTGGATCAGTTGAGGGCTGGTAGTGTCCCCAGAACTGGTATTTTTAACTCACACCTGCCCAGGTAGTTCCAATCAAGCCACTCGGGGACAACCTTCTGAAAGAACTGTGTTTTGGTAGCACACACCTGTCTGAAGGTGCTAGGGCTACAGTCACAGGTCAAGCGACTCAGCGGCCCTCCCTGGATCCTGCTGTGGGTGAAGCCCTGGGTGCGAGTCCCCATGGGCGTCGGGGAATTTAGCCTGGATGTCCTCCGTGGGGTTCTGAGCAGGCTCTTCTGAGCAGGTGACTAGGAAGGGGGAAGGCGCTAATGGCTACAGTGCTGAAATGCTATCAATGGCCTGTTTCAAAGACTGTGGGGTCCCTGGGTGGTGCCAATGGGTGGGTGCCCTTGATAGGTAAAGGAGGAACTTGGAATTGGAGGCCACCCAGAGGTACTTGAGGAGAAAGTCTTGGCAGTCTCTGTCCCAAAACTCGGCCTTTGAATTTCCCTGGAATACTGTTAAAGTCTGACATGCATGAAGTCGCCTTGGCTTGGAATCCATCCAGTGGCCCTGTGATTTATGGGAGTCCGAAGGACTAGAAAGGACCTTCCGTTCCTTTCTAGTGTCTGCAACTCTGACACACACGGGGTCACCATGAGATGGAGTTGATTCGATGACAACTGGTGTCTGCGAGTCCAAAGGGCCTTGGATCCCCATCCAATATCTGCACTAGGGATGGAGAAATCTTGTGTTTTCCATTGCATTTCGAAATGCAGAGTTTCAGCAGGTGGGTCTAGTAAGAGAGCATTCAAAGCCAAGACACATGGGGTGTGAATCTGGGACAGCCATTCATTGGAGGAAAGAGTGGAGGAAGGCTGGCATCCAGCTGAGCAGGTTCATGAGTGCCAGGCTAATGAACTGGTTGGTTAGATAAATGGCAGGTAGCCAGTCTTGATTTCTAAGCAGAAAGGTGATAAGCAAGGAAAGAGCAGCTCTGTGAAGATTCCCCTTAGAGCCGTGCGCAGAAAGGACTGGTGCAGGATGAGCCTGGATGGTACACTTGGGATACCACTATTGAAAGTGCAGGTGAGAGAGGAGGAGGACTGAGCTGGCCCAGGGAGAGGAGTGAAGCTCCCAGCAAGGTGGAATGGATGGAGGTCAGTGAGCAAGGCAGCTTGAGGCTTGACAAAGTCCCTGCCCTCCACGCTGAGCACTCCACAGGGAGACGACAGGCTAGGAGCAGAGGGAAAGGGGCACCACCAAGGCACACATGCCAGCCTGCCTTCTTGTTCACCCACTGGCCCCTGGCCCTCTCTGGACCCCAGGTGCCCTGTCTAAACTACCGGGCATGAGGGGACTTCCTAAAGGTCTCAGTTCCAACCCAGTGACCTGCATGGTGTCAAGTAGCATTTGCTGGGCAGATGGAATGCTGTGTGGAGCGCTGAATAGGGGTCTTATGCCACCCAAGTAAACTGCCAGATGGAGGAGTCTCTGGGTGGCATCAACAACGAGGTGCCCAACTACTACCTGGTAAACTGGTCTTGTGAACTCCCTCCATGGTGCCTTGGGAGACCGGCGAGGCATCCTGCTACACACGGGTCACCGGGAGTCAGAATCAACTCAGCAGCAAATAACATATTACAGTGCCAGGTTGTCTCCACCAAGCACTCTCCTCTGATGGCCAGGCCATCGAGACACGTGTGGCAGTGGAGACTCCTCAATGTCCCTTCCAAGTTGCATCCCATGTCCTTTGTGTGTCCCTCACTGATGCGGGTTCTGGCTGACGGGCTTCACTGTCCCCAAGCCCTGACCAGGATAGTGTAGCGTGTGCAGTCCAGGGTGGTCAGCTGGCCTTAGCAAGCCACACACTGACCTTGACTTCCAGCCCAAGGTCTGTGCCACGTACCATGTCCCTTCCTCCCTGTGGACGCTTGCCACCACCAGGCCAAAGCCACCTCACGTTTGCACAAGTTATGGTCAGTTCTCTCAAGCAGTACTTATTGGGGGTTTCAATATCACTCATCAATATCCCTAAGCGCTTCTGCTTAAATTAGTTACACCTATCGAGATATATCGTGTTCAAAATTAAAACTGGGAAATGCTTCAATTATTTTAAAAGCACGATAAATCCCTCATATGTTCTTGTATGTGGCTTAGTTGGATGAAAGTTATCTAAATTTCTCAGAAAAATAGCATTTTTACAATTTTACATGTGGGCAAAATCTCTTGAACGCCAGGGTCATAGACGCGTGTATCTGCTTTGATATTATTCTGCTGTGAACTCCCATAGCAGGACTCTGGAAAACACCATCGTACCCTTGTGAAGAAATGCAACCGCAACAGGCAAAGGCCATCTCAGTGCCCACAGGGAATGTTGGTTTTTGGCTTAGCCAGCCCCTTGGGAGAGCCTCGGGAGCCCCAAGGTGGCCACAGACAGTACTGAGAACTGCAGGTCTGTCTGGGTGGAGGGCAGCCTCCTTGTCTGTCCCTCCCAACACCTGGCCCTGAGTGAGTGAGTCCTCCAGAAACTTTTACAGAATGAATTGAGAAGAGGGAACTGCCTGCTCAGGCTGAAAGAGGAGGCTGCTCCCTGCTGAGGAAGCCCTGGTGGCAGAGTGGATTATGCATTGGGCTCCTAACTGCAAGGTCAGCAGTTCAAAATCACCAGCCTCTCCTTGGAAGAAAAATGAGGCTTTCTACTTTCATATTGAGTTACAGTCTCGGAAACCCACAGGGACAGTTCTGCCCTGCTCTGTTGGGTCACTGTGAGTTTCCTTGGCTTGAGAGCTCCCTGCTGTGGGCCTGGGAGGCCAGCCGTGTAGGGTATCCACCAGATGAAAGGTGGAAAGTGGCTGTCCAGAGAATAAGCAGGTACACAGGGCATCCTGGAGGGTGAGTTAGAGATTAGATGAGCCCATTGTGTATGGCTCTCTGGGACTGGGCTGGGCTCCCCTGGCCCATGCGGATACTTGTCCCCAGGCCTTTGCTGCAGAAGCGGACACAGGTGTGCTTTTGTTTTTACAGGGAGCCCGACAAAACCCACGTGGTCACATTCTTCCACACCGACCTCAGCGGTTACCTCCCACAGAAAGTAGTGGAATCCTTCTTCCCCCGCAGCATGGCTGGATTTTACGCCAACCTTCAGAAAGCAGTGACTAACCACCAAGACTGACACTGTCACTGGTTGTCGAAGGACTTATCCTATGGATGGAGGAGCTCCAGGTGGAAGGATGTCCAAGATCCTGGGAGAAGCTGAGGGTCTATTTCGCCCTTTGGAGCCTTGCCTTCCAGGCAGGGGTTGCTTGGGGTGGGCGGTCTGTGTGCTCAGCCTTCTCTCTGCCTGCTGTCCGAGCACAGCTCCCTGAACATGGTGGACCGAAGCCTCTGGCCCCCGGATAGGGACTCTGTCAAGGCTCCACGTGATGCACTCTGGTCCAAACCTTTGTCTGCCGGCCACTAGCAGAGTTGTGTTTCCCTCTTTGTCACAAAGAACCAGGTGCTGCTGCATTTGCACCACCGAGAGCTCTCTCTGACCTGTGCCTGGGGTGTATTTGTTTGACACTGGGCAACATTTTCCCTCCTCAGAAAGATGTCAACTTGGAAAATTGTGGTTTACAAAATTGGATAGCTACGTTCCTTTTGTTAATATCTTCCATTCAGATTCGTTGTTTTCCCTCCAGGAGTTAACTCCCATGCCCTTAGGAAAACCGGGCATTTTGCATCTTTCCTTGGTCAGATCTACAGCTTTGAGGGTCAGCTCTCGTTGCAAGTGATTCTGCACTGAGCAAGCTGCCCACCTTTGCACCTTGGGATCTGAAGAGAAGATGCTCCTTTCCCTTGGGCATTTCCTTGTCCTCAGCTCTGGAGGCCAGGGCAGGATTCCTGTGGCTGCCAAACTCTGGTCAGACCGCATTCCAATGACCAAGAAGGATGGGCGAGCAGACCTCCTTCTAGCAGAGTTGGCTGGAATACTCCCCACGCTACCCCAGCTTCTGCTGAAAACTGCATGTGTTAGACGGGGTTCTCTAGAGAAACAAAACCAGGACACTTGTGATTATTTATGTACATATTTATACAGCACAAAACAATATAATAACTAATTAATCCACACAGTAGAACAGAGGGCTCAGTTCAACTCATTTCCATGGAACAGTTAATATACTGGAAGTCCTTCAACTCTTTTGGGCTGCGGGTCTAAGGTCAAGGAAGCAGATAGCTGAGTCCTCCTTTGGGCAATGCAAGCAGAGTCCACCCACAGGCAGCAAACAGCAGGGCAGGTCACCAACAGGCAGCAGCTCAGGAGCTTAGCAAAGCAGGCCCGGATGGGATATCGAACTCAAGCAATGCAAGATGATGGGATCCACTAGCCTCCAGCTCAAGTGATGTACATACCAGCAGCGTGGTGAAGCAGGTCTTAAAGGAACCTCAAGCTCTAGTGACATGGTCCACGGGTTGGCTGTCTCACAGTTAATGTAACTCACAAGTTGAGGCAGAGAATTAACTAAAGGCAGCCACACACTGGTCCAATCACCAGAGTGCAAGAGAGAGAGGGGCAGGTCTTACAGAGCCATTATCTCTGCCCTCCAATCAAACTTCAACCTGATTAATCCCACATGTTCCTATTAGGATGGCACAATAAACCTACCTATCATATTGCATGACCCCAAGAGATCCAGACCCAGGACGGGCAGCACCAGGGGCACCTGGGCCTCTGACAACCTCTGCCTTACCCAGGTCCTTGATTGATCCAGTGTGCTAAGAGGTCTTTCTCCATGTCTCAGGCTCATGGCCAACTTGAGGCTCGATTTCCAGTCATGGTGGAAAGCTACTTTCTCTTTCCCTGGCCTGGTCCAGATTTATGACTTGGCCGCAGACCAGAACTCAAAATCTTCACCCAATTATAAGACACATCACCACGAGCAAGGATGGTCACATTTTCAAGGACAGGGAAGTATGCCTCTGTGCCCTGACCTCATGTCCACATCCTGGGCAGGCACACAGTGAGATCCCAGGGATGGCTGTGGAATAGAGACTTACCTTATTAGAAGATCATGTCCATGTTCGGCATTTCTATTTAGTCTAAAAAGCCAACACGCCTGAGGGCTCTGAGTTCTTATGCACAGCAGTTAGTGGACAAGGTTTAGGCACATAAGGCAACATAAGAGTAACACAAACTGTTACTCCTCAGGGTGAACAGGACAGTGACTGATAGATACCCTAGTGGGGTTTGCCTAAGGATTTTGACCTCAGCTGGGTGTCCTAAGAGCCCACCAGTAGCAAAGAGAGAGTCTTGACTTTCTGTGGACCCAGCGGAGTCCCTGAATATTGCAACCAGTCAAGACTCCTTGGGTGCTAACCAAAAAGTTGATGCTTCAAATCCACTCAGAGGTGCCTCAAAAGAGAGGCTGACTGATCTTCTGGGGGCGGGGGAAATCACTCTTTGAAAACTTTCGGGAAGCCCGCGGTTCTATTCCAACACACGTGGAGTTGCCAAGAGTCAGAAACAATGCTAGCAACTGATGATAATCTATGGGTCCCGGGGAGGCCACTGGAGCACATTAATATGGTGCAGCCAATCCTGGCGACCCCTGACTGATCTTTCCCCACATGATTTCACAGGACCTGGCATGGGTCATCAGTTGTGGCTAATGCAATCACATGTCTTTGCTCTGACCTGGACGATCAGGCATTAAGACGTGAACAAACTATCCCTTTGGAGGTAGTTTCCCTACAATAACCCTGCATGGAAGCATCCCTTGGCTGATGGTCCACCAAGCACAGAAGACCAAACTCAGTCTCTCCGCCTCACCATAATAGTCCCTTTGTTGTCTCCGTGTTGTACAATGGGACAATGCCACCTGCTAACGAGGTGACTGATCACTAAAGACAACGTCCAATAGATGCCAAGCCCAAGGCTTAGCACATGGGTGGTAAGTGGTAGCCATTTGTATTTTACCCTCTCATCCTCCCACGCTCATTCTGTTGACACACCAGTCCACACCTGTTGCTTACCTATTCCCTGGTTCCACGCTAATCTAGGATCACGTCTCCAACCCAATGAAAACTCAGTTTTGCAAATATTTTGTGTGGCCGTTTGGATTTTCCAAAGTCGATCTCAATAGGATTTCCCCTTCCCTTCAACCTGGGCAGGCTGGTCCCAGCTCAGACCAAGCTGCGACGTCAGAAGTGATGCCCTGTGACTTCCACGGCCCGTCCGTAAGAAGAGCGCACCTTCTGCTCGGCTCTCGGACTCTTGGAACTCTCGCCTTTCGAACGCAGCCGCCATAGTGGGAGAAGCCTTGGCCACGCGTGTCGGTGTTCAGACTCGCAGCCCCAGCGGACCACCCAGTCAATAGCCAACATCACCTGTCTCTGCAGACGTTTGCAGCTCCCAGACTTTGAGTTGCTCCAGCAGAGGCCAATCGGAACCAACACGAATCTGCCTCCTCCCAGCCCCGTCTGTGTTGCAGACTCGTGGGAGAAAGGATGATTGCTGTGGGGTGGTGGACTGTCACACAGCCAGACTTGGCCAAACAAGACATGGATTTCATATCAAATTATAATAGATCCATTTTATTTATGGCACCGCAATGTTATCATTAAGCTCTCTATATACAAAGTACAGTTTGTGCCAGTCACCCCAGTATGGCTCTGCCCTGACTTCTAGGACAGCCCTCTTGCTGGTGGTCCCAGAAGGTCCAGATCTGGACACCGGTCACCAGGAAGCACACCTGTGCTTTCTCTCCATCTGGGCTGGGGTGCACCAGGAACCCTGAGAATCAGAGGCTGTGGGGAGCTGTGTGCTGGAGCTGCATGCTGTGGGCTTTGGGCATCAGCATTGGCATTCTGCCTAGGAGTCTCCAGTCACTGTGGGCCCTCAGACTGTGGGCTCTTCCTCCGAATGGCAATGGGGACAGGTCCATCGGGCAATGCTTTGATGATGTTCCAGGCTTCCAGCCGTGTGAGACCTGCACAAGCAACATCAGCCAGTTGCAGAATCTCATCTCCTGGCTGGACCGTCTCGCTCTGTTCGACACCTGTCCCTGAGGGATAGGGGAGAAGAAGAGGATGGTGGATTTCACAAGTGAAGGGGCCCATCTTCCCTGTCCTTGATCTCTGAGGAGCTAGGACAGCTGTGGGGAGAACAGGGTGCACATGGCAGAATGACTCGACCACAGGTGGCACGGAATTTGAGGTGCCAGGCTCTGGCCCTCTCTGCCCCTTAGGAAAGGGGTATCCTAGGCTGTCCCGGGAGAGGGAGATTGCAGACAGATCTAAGGGCCTGGCTGGGAAGATGTTCAGAGGACTGTGGGGAACTGAATCATCAAAAAAAGTCCCCTTGCACACAACTCAGCAGCCTTCCTCCCTACACATGGCCTTCCCCTTCTACTTAGATCATCAGCACGGAACGGTGGGGGCAGGAAGCTGCTGAGCCCTTTGTGAGCCATCCCTGAGATGGGCTTGGCTCTGAACAGCCGGGAGAAGCCCCAGGGGCCTGCAGAAAGGCAGTATGATCAGGCATGGCCCCACCCTTACATGCTCTCTAGGACAATAGGGTTGGTTTACTGTGACTACAGACACAATGAGGGCTCCCATCCCAGGGACCCATGATCTTTACATCGACTGCCTCAGAACAGAGATGAACAATAATGATCAAAATAAAAAGATGGCTCACACGAATTAGACCATTAGTGAAGAGCAGCCACGATGCTAAATGCGTTTAGGATACTGACCCTCTGCAGGGCACGCTTTTCGTAATCCTTTTCCACTGGTGAGGAGACCAAGGACTCAAGCCACTCACCCATACCCACGGCACCAAGGCTGCGTGTGTGAACCCAGACATGTGGGCCCCAGGATCCGCTTTGCCAAGCATCCCGTCACCCTGCAGCGCATAGCTCATCTTCACCAGCATGGTGGCGTGTCTTACCCATATATACGACAGGACTAGCACTAGGACCCAGGTCGGCTGACTCTGACCCCCATGCTCATTCCAAGTTGACCTCCAAACGTTTAATCGACAGTCCCCAGAACTGGGGTTAGCGTGGATTCTAAGTGCCATGGGTTGAATTGGAGGAAGGCTCATGAACAACCTGTGAGAGGCAGATGTCACAACCCTGCTTGCTGAAAGGGAGGAGGACTGGAAGCACTTGCTGATGAAGTTCAAGGACTGCAGCCTTCAGGATGGAATCTGACTTAACGTGCAGAAGGCCAATATCCTCACACCTGGACCAATAGGTGACATCATGCTAACTGATGCGCGGAGATGGGGAGACCGGAAGCACAAGCCATGTGAAGACAGAAGCAAAGGTAAGAGTGATGCTGTCATAGCCAAGGAGCAACTGTGGGCTTCGAGGAGCTTGAAGAAGCAAGAGAGGATCTTCCCTGGAGCTTTCAGAGGGAGCAGGGTCCCACTGACACCCTGAATTCCGACTTCCAGCCTCCAGAACCATGCAGAAATACCTTTCTGATGGTTTAATGCACTCCGTTTGTGGTACGTGGCTACAATAGCTGTAGGAAGCTAAGGGCACGGGGGAGTGACCAAATGAGCTTCCGTCTAGCCTCCCTCCAGGGTCAGCAACTACAGCAGAGCCTGCTTGAACCAAACCTCCAGCCACAGGGGCCCCTGGGACAGGGACAGAATGGGGACCCATTGGCCCTCAGGACAGAGTCCTGGAACACAGAGAACCTCTCCTGCCGATGAGATGAGGGGCTCAGGCCTGGAAGAGGAGAGTCAAGTTGTACCGGGCAGAGATGGAGTCAGAGATGGGCCTGTAGCCAGACTCCATGAGTCCCCGTCCAGTGCTCCCCTTGCTCTGCTTGAGGGCTTGTGGGGGGAGGGGGGGTCCAGCCTGAAGAGCATCAATGGTTTGCTGTGTGATCTCCACCTCAGCCCATGTCAAACAAAACATCAAACTCTTAAGCACGGGCAGGATCCACCAGGTCCAGGGTGAGGGTGGGCTGTGTGAGGCTAAGCAGTTGAGTGCAGGGTCAGACTCTGGCTTTATTGACAACTTTGATATGTCAGTCATTGGGCACTGACTTGGGGGGTGGGAGTGGGAGGTGCCTTGCGATGGCACGTATCTTGATTACTGCACAACTGGGAAACTCATAAAAGTCTTAACACTGCAGTTCAGTGCCTCAATTACCTCAATGTTCCCCCTGCTCTACTAAGTTCTCATAAGCTCAGAGCTCAGCTGCTAGGGGAAAACAAACTAACTAACCAACTTCAAACTCACTGTCATTGAGTCAATGCCAAGTTATACTGACCCTACAGGGCAGGGTAGCACTGCCCCTGTGAGTTGCCAAGATAACTCTACAGAAATAGAAAGCCTCACCTTTCTCCCAAGGGGCAACTGGTGGTTTTGGACTGCTGACTTTTCAGGTAGCAGCCCCAGGAGTAACCACTATGCCACCAAGGGGATTCAGCCAAATACAGGGGTGGGGGTGGGGGATGGTGTGCGCCCAGGAGGGAAAGTAGAACTCAGTTTTTGGAACGCCTGCGTGCCTCGAGAGGATGAGGGGTTATGTCCCCACTCGGGACATCAGTGTTGCCTCAAAGATGCTCAGAAGCTGGTTGGGGGCCTGCCTCCAGGTGGAAAAGGTGCAGCCACCCCCCCACCTCCACCCCCGCCACACACCTTTGAAAATCCTGTTGACAGTGAGAGGCTTGTCTCCGTGGAGTGAACCTTTTCCTCCTTCCAGGCTGAACCCCAGCCCCGCCGAAGTCTTCTCCAGGGTCACTCTGCAGACTGGCGCCTCTGCTGCGGAGAGACACCGGTGCTTCCATCGGAACCACCCCCCTCCCTGGCCAGGACAGCCGACTGCCCATGACTGTGTTCACATGTCTGCATGTAGACACATGCATACATACGTGTACAAATGCACACAAACCTTCCCCCCTATCCCAGGCAACACGCTGGGAGGTCACATAGTCTGGGGACCACAGGTTACTGCGCAGTCCCCCCTGCACTGGGAGAACTTACCGGAATCCACGGCAGCCTCACTGGCTACAGAAGTTGAGGCTACTGAGTCGGTGGAGGAGTCCAGGTCAGGCGTGCCCTCCAGAGCTGGCCTCCTGGTGACAACCACAGCTTGCCGAGGGTCGCGAGCTTGGCGCAGGATGGCCAGGGCGTCCGTATGTGTGGCCCCTTTGAGCGACTTCCCGTTGATGGACAGGACCTCGTTGCCTTTCTGAATAGTCCCTTCCTGCGAGGCCAGCCCATTGGGGAACACACGATGAACCTGAGCAAACCAAAGAGAGTAGGGACCCAGAGGGGGCCTGTGAGTCCCCTGGAAAGGATGTTTAGGCCCCTTTCCCCCATAAGGTGCTGGACAATGTCAAGGCAGGCCTTTGCGTCAGCTTCTTTAACAAGGCAATGCCAGGGATTGAATCGTGTCCTCCCAGAACAGGCATGGAATGTCTGGCCCTTGCACCTGGGGGTGAGATCCCGTTTGAAAACTTGGTTACATTAATGTGGTCCTCCAAGAGTAGGCTGGTCCCCAACCTGATCAGACCCATTGACCCATGCCAGGTGAAGATTGTCTACAAGCCAAGGATCCCAGGAACACCTGGGGACTGCCAACAGGGAAGGGGTCCACACGGCCCAGCCTCTGGTTGAGCATTTGAGCACCCCACATTGCGAGAAAACAAACCCCTCTTCAGTGTCAGAGCCGTGCAGGCTAGTGAAGATGGGCAGACTCTAATCTGTGAGGTCCAGAGGATTCAGTGACTGCCAGGGTGGTGAGCTCCAGCTGAAATTCTGAGCCCCAGGTTTGCAGAAGGCCGCAGTTTACGATGGGAGCCTTGGGCCCACGCTGACTCTCCACACACAGTCAGCCTCCATGGAGTTCTTTCTGACCCCTGACCAGCACTGTGAACAGCTTAGGTCTCAGACTGAATGTGACACCACTGGCCACCCATCAGGAACTTGCCTGGGAGGGGCCTTGAAGAAAATTGGGGTATGAGGTGGCATGGTCACGAGTCATAATCCCATTACCACTACCTTGGTCCGAGAGTCCTGAACCAATCTTGTCAGCTTCGCTGAATGCAACAGGGTACATATATCCCTCTGGTGGGCCCTTTCCTGCTTCCTAGTCCTACCTGTGACTGCCCACACCTGTGACCGTGAATTGATCTGCCACCGATTATGATTTTGTGACAAATTTCCTTTGCTGTCTAAGTTTGATGAGTTAACTACATGGCTGTGAATCCTTTGGACACCATCAGGTCTCACCCTAATGACCTTTGTCAACCAGATGGGTTTTGTCTTTGTCTCCTGTGTTAGACAGGGTTCTCTAGAGAGATAAAACCAAATTGCTGATAACTTAATATATTTATTTATAAAGATAATTAGATATATAACAAGAAATGAACTGTTAAATCATATACAGATAAATATATAATACAAGAAATGAACAGTTAAATTATAAAGCACTAGAAATGGCTCACTGCAACTCACTCCCGTGAGAGAGAGTTGTGAGAGACTAGTAGTCCTTCAAGTCTCGTCAGCTGCCAGATCTCCCTCTATTTATAGAGAGAACTAGGCTATCTCAGCACAGCAGCCAATCACAAGGCAGATCACCAACTGTCAACTAACCACCAGTCCCAACTGCCAGTCCCCAGCTCCAGAGATGTCTTAAAGGGATCTCAACTTACAGCGCCACAGCCCTCAGGCTAGGCATCCACAGGTAGTGTAGCCTATAAATTGAGGCACAGAACAAGCGAGGCAGCCACACACTGGTCCGATGATCAAAGAGCAAGAGACAAGAAAGGCGAGGCTCACCGAGCCATTTATCTCTCCGCCCTTCAGTTAATCCCACTTGTTTATCGGCCAGGCTGGCACAATAAACTATCTCATCTCCTTTCTGTCCTATGTAAGACATCATAAATGGCCTCTGTAAATTATATGACCAACATAGTCCGGTACAATTGCATAGTCAGTCAAACACAAGTAAACCTTTTTTCTGGTCTTCTCTGTTTTCAGCTAAGATCCATCAGCAATGATATCCCTTGTTCCACGTCCTCCTCTGGATTGGACCTGGACTCCTGGCAGCTCCTGGCCAATGTACTGCTGCAACCATTGTTGGATGATCTTCAGCAAGCCTTTACTTGCATGTGATATTAGGGATTTATTCTATAAGTTGAACCTTCTGTTGGGCCTCCTCTCTTTCGAACGGGTATAATATAAATATGGATCTCTTCCAATCAGTTGGTCTGGTAGCTGTGCTCCTAATCTCCTAGCATAGATGAGGGAGGGCTTCTAATGCTTCATCAGCTTGATGACACATTTCAATTGGTAATTCATCAATTCCTGGAGCCTTGTTTCTGGTTCATGCTTTCAGCGCAGCTTGAACCTCTTCCTTCAGCACCATTGGTTCTTGCTCGTATGCTACCTCTTTAAATGGTTGAGTGTCATTAGTTCCTTTTGGTACAGTAACTGCTTTTTCCATCTTCTTCTGAGGCTTCCTGCCTCATGTAATATTTTGCCCATAAAGTCTTTTAAAACTACAACTCAAGGCATGAATTTTTCTTGAATTCCTTCAATTGAACATATGCTGAGCTTGTTCTTCCTTTCTGGTTTTCTAACTCTAGGTCTGCGTATTTCCTTATAAAACTTGACCTGTCTCCTTAAGTTGCACTCTGGATTTTACGTTCAGTTTTTTTAACTTCATCATTTCTCCCACCTCTGGTGGGGGTGGCCCACGGACCTCTTGACTAACAGCTCAATGCTTCACTTCCTCACTGCCACACTGGGGTGCCAATTCCCTGCCTCGGGGTTGCAAAGAGACAAAGCTATGGCACCTCACCAGACCCGGTTGGGGGACAGTCATCAAGGTCAGCAGATAGACCAGGAACTTCATACAGGCCTTTTACTTCTTTTTTGACTTATATATATGTATATATGTCTATCTGTATAAGATCAGCAGGATAAACAATCCCAAGGAGAAAGCAGCCTGACCAGTGGTTCCGGGAGGTGGGGGGTTGGGGGACCGGGAGGTGGGAGAGGAGGTGGCGGCGGAAGGTAATGGGGAGCCAACAAACTCAGGAATAGGAGAACAATAGGAGATCTGAAATCAACTGTGAGGAGGATGCAGAGTGCCTGGTGATGTTTGATCAACTGTAATGCAGCCAAGAAGAATTGCTGAGAGGCAAATGAAGGGTGAACATGATAGTGGTGCAGGAGGAATGCAAAAGAAAATAGAGCAAAGAACTAGGAGGTAAAGGCTATATATAGAGAGATAAATACACACATGCATCTATGTAAATATATTAATATATAAAGATAGGGGTATTAGTTTATGAACATATATTTATATGTTAAAGTATGAAGGTAGCAGACAGACTTTGGGCCTCTACTCAAGTCCTCCCTCAACACAAGAACACTTTGTTCTAATAACCTGGCACTGTGCGATACCTTCCCGACACCATCACTGAAAACAAAATGGATACATAAGCAAATGTGTTGAAGATAGCTGATGATGCCTGGCTATTAAAAGATATAGCGCCTGGGGTCCTAAAGGCTTGAAGATAGACAAGTGGCCATCTAGCCTGGAGGTAACAAAGCCCACACAGAAGAAGCACACTAACCCATGTTATCATGAGGTGTCGATGGGATCAGGAGTCAGGAGATCAAAAACAAACAATTATATTGATATGAACAAGAGGGGTTGGAGTGGATACCCAAAGCCCATCTGTTGATAAGTGTACATTCTCTCACAGAAGGGATGGTTCATTCAGGGTGCAATATAGCACCAACAAAACACACAATATTTCTCTAATTCTTTAAGGCTTCCTCCCCCTACTATCATGACCCACAAAATCTGCTAGACTGGAGCATGTACATTGGTACAGATAAGAGGTGTGTGGAATCCAGGACAGATAAACCTCTCGGAAACAGTAACAGAAGTAGGGATTCCATGAGGGTAGGGGAAAGAGGGGGGGAGGAGAGTAAGGGGGAACTAATAGAAATGATGGTTGTATAACCCTTCTCAAGGGGGATGAATAACAGAAACGTGAGTGAAGGGATGCAGTGGTCTGTGTAAGATATGAATAGATAGATAGATATAGATATAGATAAATTATTAAGGGTTCATGAGGATGGCAGGGTGGGGGAGGTAGGGAATAAAGAGGAGCTGAAATCAAAGGTCTTGAGTAGAAAGATAATGTTTTGAAAATGATGATGGCTTGCTATAATTGATATAATTGATTGATGGGCTGTTATCATATCTCTAAGAGCCCCCAGTAAAATGATGTAATATTTAAAAAGAAGAAGAAGAGTCGGCGTTAGAGGACAGGCTGATGACTGGTACACATCAGTTCCCCTTCCATGCATCTGAAAGGCACCGAGCGCCCAAACTCAGAAGGAGCAAGAGGAAGCATCATGCAGATGTCCAGCCACAGTGCTTTGCGTCTTCCTGGTTTCCCAGTGGCTGCAGTGGCCCAGAGGTGAAGGGTCAAATGTGGGTGAGAGAAATCCCTACCCAAGGGAAGGGCAGAGCAAGGGTCCAAGGTGCCCTTGCTGTAGACCTGTTCTCCTTCCACTAGAGAGGGAAGTGCATCTAGGAGCGCTTCATAACCCTCCTCCATGTGGTCAGTCACTGGTCTTATGTGCGTGTTCAGGGTAGAGAAGTTGGAAAGAAATTCAATGAAGTGGCCATTCCGACCCCCTTGACTCTGAGGTGACCAAGAGGAAGGCCCCAAGTCACAACTTCCAGCAGGTGTGCTGTGTTTTATGCTGGTGGACACTGGGCACTGGGGGTGGATGGGGGGTTATTTTCAGCTGGACAAAGGAATGAACATGCATCAGCAGAGTCCACAAGCAATGCGTTGGGGCAGCATCACTGTGGGCGAACAAAGTGCACTGGGCTTTAGAGAGGAGGTAGCCATGCCCCGGCTCAGCCTGTGATGATGGGTGGACTAGAAACCTGTGTCAGGTTCAAATGACCCAAGACAGAGGGCAGAGGGCAGCGGCTAACAGTGATCAGATGGCCAGGGTCAGATAACACATATGCACAAGGAAAGATGCAGACTTCCTTCCCTCCCCAGACCTACCCTGGTCTCTAGTAGGTGCTAAGCTTACAGGGATGGGGAGGGGGAGTAGGGGTCTGGTCCCTGAGGTCTGCAGCTTCAGGGTGGGTGCCGTGTGAATGCAGTAACTGCTGCTTGTTCTCACCAGGGAGGGCCCCACCACTCTCAGCCAACCATCTGCTCAGCTTCACAATTGCCTAGCCCAGTAGAGTAAGCGTTTCCCTTCTCCAAGAACAGACAATGACAAACGCAGCCACTCCACTGACTGGTGCTGATGGTCAGTCAGGGACCTGCAAATCAGGAGGTGGGCCATCTGCAAATCAGGAGGTGGGCCATCTGTGCCTCAGAGGAAAGGTCTGGCCAGCTGCTTTCAGATATGTCCGCCATGGTCAATGCCAGGAAGCTTGGTTGGTGTGCTCGAACACACATGCGGTCGCCATGAGCCCCAGTGGAGCGGATGGCAACTGGTTTCCTAGGACCCTGCTTCCTCAAGGGCCCTTTCCATCCAGCGCACACCTCCTTCTCTGCGGCAGGGTCCCCTCCTATGAGGAGAGCCAGGAGCCTGCCTACCCAGGCGAAGGCCCTTGCAGGGAAGGTGTCCGGTGCCACCTATCACAGGTAGGCGTTCAGCCCTGATTGTAAAGACTTCCACCACCGCTCCTGTGGCCAGAAACCTCCTGACCTAATGCTGCACTGGCGGCGGCGGTGGTTGTGGCTGTTCCGTGCCATCAAATGGGTTCTGACTCACAGCGGCCTGATGTACAACAGAGCAAAGCCCCGCTCAGCCCTGCCCCTCCCTCACAATGGCTGCCCCATTGTTTCTGTGCCCACTGCCGCCGCCTCTGTGTTGAGGGTCCTCCCTCAACAAGATGGATCAGTGATGAACTGGTTATAGGCCCGTATGTCCAAAGGAGCAGACACACAATCGAATGAAAATCTGGGCTGAACCTTCCAAAAGGTAAGCATTTGGGCCTCAACCTCCCAAGGTTTGGACTCCATCATCCAGCTGAGAGGCTGGGGCATCGGCACGTTTTATTTTAAGCCCCACAAATGACCTGGATCTCTTTTGCCATATTAAAGTTATCTAGGGGGTCTACCAAACCTTCTTTAGTAGTTCAAAAATTACGATGGGAGTCAAATACGAAGTCCCATCCATGACTATTATAAATACGCTGTGGAGGGGGTGAGGGCAGAGGCCACCTCTCCCTCATGGCTTAGCGTCATGAATTTTCTGTCCCTCAGCACAAAAGACCCCTCCGGGGCAGGCCTCCCCGCCTTGGAGCTGCATCCCTGGCCCTGCCCTGTCCCCACGACTGGACCACTCACCGTGATCACCTTGTTCTCCAGATCCACTCCTCCTGCTAAGCTAAACCCAAGGCCAGCCCCTTCGTCCTTGTGCAAGATGGTGACATGGATGCTGTCCAATTGCTGCAGGAGAAAGAGAGGCGTGACACCGTGATGCAGCAGTGTGAGCAGTTCAAGTAGTAGTTTGAAGTCGGACGGATTGGACCTCACACCCCAGCTTGTGCCGCTCCAGGCTACAGCACCTCCACACACCTCCGTGCCATCATCTCTAGAGGGGGACTGGGCTTTCAGGAGTCATGGGACACTTGGGAGATAAACAAGTATGTAGGTAAGTAAGCGCTGTTCTTTTCACCAAGAAACGTGTGGAAACTCCAGATGTTTGGGCAACTGCCTCTGTGCCGGTTCTGACCTTATTGGGATGAGGTAAGGTTGTAGCACCACAGAGCCAGGGTGCCAGCACTATCTGGGAGAAGGTGGTGGCTCCTGCTCTCTCCCCTTTCCTCCCAGGGTGCAGCCACTAAGGGAGCCCAGTTGACACCTCACCTGGTTCACAAGCTCCCCCTGGGCACAGAACATCCCAGCCAGGACCCGGCTCTGCCTGTCCAGAGTCAAAGACTCTCAGCTTGCAGCTGGGGTCTCCAACTCACATGCCTACGGGGTCCAGGAAGAGCACTTTTCTGAGGACCATGGGCAGACGTGAGACACTCAGAGTGACAGGAACTTGAGAGACGCCCTCTCCTACAGGTGGGTCTTTTGTATACATAAGCCTCCCCTGAGGATCTTGTTCAACGGAAGGCTCTCCTTCAGTCTATCGAGGGAGGGGATGCACATTCTCAACAGGAGGCCCAGCCAGAATGACCCTGGCTCAAAGGCCTGGTTAACTAAACAAACACACAGAAACCACACAGACTAAATTTAATATATCTGCAGGTCCTGTGGTGCTGAGGGCACCACTTTGCGCTGTGGCAGTAGGGAGGACATTGAAGTGGAAGAATTTACTTTCTTGAGTGTGGTCCAAGCATCTGGCCTGCTGGTGGTTCTAAGAGCCTTTTCTATGGAATCCTTAAGACCCAGAGGGAAGAGTGTCCTTCACTGCCCCGCCCCCATCCCACCACCAGCGCAACACTGCCAACTTTTACCCCAATATTGGGTTAGTTGTCCTGTTGGAGAAAAACAAGAAGACCATAGGCTGGACATAAGTGCTTGCTTATGACACAGGTCTGCCTCCCTTGTTTAATCTGAGCTGGACACGGTCCCTGGGGGTAATGAGCCCCGTGTGCACGAGAGAAGGGCGCGGTCCTCAGAGGAGAGGAAGAGCTCCCAGGGACACCTGTGTGCATGAGGCTGCGCCACATCCTTGACATAAGATTGGACCCCAGCGAGCACATCTCCTATAATAGAAAGACTCATTATTATCTCCTATAATAGAATGACTCCCCAGGGTCATGTTGTTTCCGGTTTTAATATCGTCTGCTTTCTTTTTGATGGAGGTTGTGTCTAGCCATTGTTGTTGGATGTTTCGGTGTGTTGGTCTGTTTGCTTCCTGCTTGTGTTTTGTACGATGTTCTGTACATGAAAGCCAGGATGGGTAAAGCTATGAGCGACAGTAACTGTATTAATGATGACCTAGGGGCACGGCAGGAGGATGGACAGGGAGAAATGGGCAGCTAACAACAACGGATATGAGAGGAAAGTGTTCTGAAATTGACGACTGGTGACGATTGTACAACTCTTCTAACGATGACTGAATGATGGAGCAATAGGATATAGAAAATATGCGTCAACAAAACTATTTTCAAAATTGAAAAAGGAAAGAGGGTCTCTGCAATCACTGGATTAATCTTCCTTGGGGATAGCATAGGGGAGGTTGGGGGGAAATCGGAGCTACAAGGATGAAGAAAATGTTCTAAGACCGCGTGTGGTGATTGTGCAACTCTTCTTGATGTGATTGAACTATTGAAATGCATGGTGTGTGAACTATTTGCCAATGAAACTATGGGAGGCAGCAGGGAGGAAAGAGGGTCTCCTCAGGGTCACCCCTCCATCTGCCTGATCAGGTCCTCAAAGCCTGTGTGGTCCCCGAGATGCCCAGACTGTGCAAGGCCCACGAGCCCCCACACTTCCCAGCTGCTTCCTCCTCTGGACACACTTTGGGTCATGCTCAGAAAGCACATCGAAAGTGGGACCTTCAGAATGACCCGGCTGAAGCCCAGGGGCCCTGAAGAACAGGGATCAGCCACCTGGGTGCAGAAAGAATAAAAACCACCTGGTGAGGGCTCCCATAGCCCACGTTCACCATCAACAGCGAGTGCTCCCACGGGGTGGCTACGCTAGAGACTCACACAGGTCAGCAGGCCTGAAGCTCTGGACAGGGAACCAAACCCGCAGACTCCGAGCAAGCACACTGGCCCCAGAGCCCCATCTTTCTCATTGTCCAAGTAGTTAAGACAGGCAACCTGACAATGTATTGAAAGCAAGAGAAAGCAATCGGAGTGCAATAAAAAAAAAATCTCCCTTTGAGCGCAAGGTTTCACTGTCACCAGGGCTCAGAATGTTCCTCTCCGACAGACAGGCAGACAAGGCCTGCTTCTGCTGTTGGCTCCTGGGAGCTGCTGGCGCCTCGGGGAGCCTGGAGCTATTCAGACTGCTTCCCACCCCAAATATAGAATGTAATCACACAGCCTTGGTCCCTGGCAATTGCTTACCACAGAAACCTACCTTTAAGGTGGCCTCATCCAGAACCTTCACTTCCTCTATGAGCTCCTTCAGCTCCTCTGTGCTCAGGAGGGCGAGAACCGACTGGCCAGGTGGAGGGGGACTGTGGTTCCAGGCATCCGCTTCCCTGGGCTCCGCAAGGCCCTCCGTGTATTCTCTGAGCTCTGAAAGGCTTTCACAGAGAGAAACGTCACACAGCACAAATAACAGCAGCACAACTTCCCATCTACGCAGGCCTGCTCTGCTGCTGGCACGGTGTTCACGGTCACGTACGAGCATTCTCGTGTGTGATGTTTTCAGCAATGAGTGGATGCTCGCCTTCAGCAGACAGGCTCACTGCCATCAGGTCGAGTCTGACTGACAGTGACTGTATAGGACAGAGCAGAACTGCCCCTGTGGGTTCCTGACACTGAAGCCCTGGAGACACAGTGGATACGTGTTGGGCTGTGATCTGCAAGATCTGCAGTTCGAAACCACTAGGCGCCCCTCAGGAGAAAAACGGGGCTCTCTACTCCCGTAAACAGTTACAATCACAGAAACCCACAGGGGGCGGTTCTACGCTGTCCTATAGAGTAGCTGGCTTGATGGCTGTGAATTTTTTAAGAAATGTTAACAAGAGTAAAATGTCTCCTCTCTCTCCCATCGAGTGGCTGATGTTTCAGACTGCTCACCTTGCAGTTAGCAGAACAACGCCTAACCCAGTTGCCACCTGGGCTCCTCTCACCCACCATGGGAAGAGAACTCGGGATGGAGAGAGAATCCAGGGCGTATCTAGGGCATCACAGCTACAAGATGCCAAGGTCTGGGATTCCAGGTGAGAGATCAGTGCGCGTCCGACTCCAGAGCCCAAGTTCTGGACCTCGGCCCTTCGCCACGCCAGGCATCTAAGGCTCTGGACACATCTGGCCGGATGCCTCCACTGCTCCTCTGCCCATTTCCCACACTGGGGGACCAGCGTGCTGCTGGGATGCTGGAAGCTCTGCCGCTGGTATCCCCATTACCAAGAAAGTCACACGAGCTTTCGGCAGAGCTTCCAATCTGAGAGGGGAGACTGAAAGGCCGGCCATCTGCCTCTGAAAATGAGCCGCTGGAAACCCTGTGGAGCGTGACCGGACAGTGCCCAGTGTCGATGAGTCCCTGGGGTGGGGGCCCACTCTGGAGCCACAGGGGCCGCGATGATGAACCCAAGCCTGCTGATGATGCCAATGATGGCATGGGGCTGGGCGGCGTGATGTTCTGCTGTCGACCGGGTCACCATGGTCAGGGCCAGCTTGGTGACAAGTAGCACCAGCAAGGACACAGCCTGCACACCCAGCTTGGCACAACGAGCAGAACCTGTCACCGAGGCAGGTGACCTTTCAGGCACACTTTTCTCTCTGCCGTAATTCATAGATGCCGCTGGCCAGAACCCAGCAACGGCCAAGGGCCAACCTTCACTGCCCCTGGTCTCCATGCTCTCCTGCACGCATTGTGCCTCCCTGTGGCCGGCTGCCCCGAACCCGTGGACACTCGATGCACAGCAGGATGAAATGATGCCTGGCTGGCCCGTTGCCATTCCCAAGATCAACTGCAGATCCTTCGAGATCCACTGGCTGATTTTCAGAAGTAAATCGCCAGGCCTGTCTTCCTCACCCAACTTAGTCTAGAAGCTCCACGGAGACCTGTTCACACAATGCCTAGTCTGGGATCAAACGTGAGCCTCCTGCTTGGAAGGTGAGGATGCTACCACGGAACCACTCATGCTCTTCATCTTTGTACAGGGAGTTCTTTCTTTCCCCCCAGCCACGTATTTTGCATGCTCTGGTGGTTTCCGTGGTACTGAATGGTTCCCCTCACTGACTGATAGGCGTCTGCCCCTTAAAGGTGGACGGGGACCCCCACACAGACCCCCGCTGCAATAAATCCCAGGTTGAGCTTCCCTGTTGCAATGGTAGAAGAGGCTCTCAGCCAAAAAGCCCAGTGGACTAGTGGTGTCACAATAGAACTGTACTCCATAGGCTGACCGTTGGATTACAAAGGTTACCAAGCAGATCACCAGAGGTTTGAACCGCCAACAGTTGGGTTAGTAGTCAAAAGCTTAACCATTTGACCTATCCAGAAACCACCCCCAGACCAAAACAACATATAAATGAACAGATGGAACAGTATTTGAACCAGTACATCTGAGAAAGAGCTTAAAGATATATTAATTAAAAACAAGAATGCTGATATAGAGTTGATTCCTATAGGGCCCCATGGGACAGACTTGAATGGCTCCACAGGGTTTCCAAGGTGGAACAGACTGTGACGTCATTGGACCTCAGAGGAGTGGGGAGGTGAGAACAACAGGGCTTTCCTTCTGTAGCCATGCACTTAACCACAGCATTGCCAGGGCTTCTTAGGAAGACATATCCCAACCCACACCAAACTCACTGTCATGGAGCCCATGCTGACTCATAGCAACCCCTGTGGGTTTCTGAGACGGCAACTGTTTATGGGAATAGAAAGCCCAATCTTTCTCCCAAGGAGCTGCTGGTGGTTTCGAACTGCCGACCATACGGATCGCAACTCAACGCATAACCACTCGGCCTCAGGGCTCCTCTAAAAGGGCCTGTAGGATTCCTACAGAAAGGCAAGTGAGGGCGAGGCAGGGGCGCCCTGGGTGAAGACACTCACTTGAGTGAGAACCCCGTGTCCGGGGCAGGCGTGGTGGCAGGACTGCTGGCCGCCGGACTTTCGTTGGGCAGTGGCAGTGGAGGCTCCCCATCCTTGGGGTTGCGGGGCGACTGGCCCCCGGACACTGACGATGGAAGGCACAGCAAGGATTTCATGACAGCCGAGGACACTTGGCTGCTGATGGAGTAGAGTTTGCTGGTCTTCTCCTCCGATGGCCTCACCTCACAGGACTGGGTCCTGGTCAGAGGGAAGCTCCGTGCCCGCTGGCCCGGGGTCTTGACCACAGGGCCCTGTGATTGCTCAGTCGGTGCTGAGAGCAGCCTCAGGAGGAGGTCAGGGTCAGTGGGGAGGATCTTTGGAGTGGGCTTCGGCCCTGCGGGTGGGGGCACAGGCCCCTCTGAGGCTGCAAGGGGGCCCGGTGGCAGCTGCTCTTTCTCTGGCAGCTGTTGCTCCACACTGGACGGAGTCCCTCGCACCAAGAGGCCACAGCCCCGGCCTCCTTCTCCCTTTCCCAGAGGTTTCGCCGCCTCTCCAGAGGTAGGTTGGATGCTTGCTCGCTGGGCTCCTCTATCAGGAAGTTGAGAGACGCCAAAGGTTTCAAAAGAACTGATCCTCTGCTTGATGGAGGAGGAGGCCTGAGAGTGCGGCCCAGGAAGTCCCCTGGGTGCCGGTGTCGGCTGGGTGCACGGAGCGGCGCTGGGCAGCCTTTTGGGGTCTGGAGCGCGGTTCCGCAAACCTTTCAAGCTCTGGTGAAACCAGGCTGGCTTGGGGGCCACAGGGGGCCCCTTCTTCACCGGGCTGCTGTCTGCTGCCTTGTAACCTTTGGGAGCCCCGTTGGAAGCATCCGCCTTCGGTGGGGGTCCATCTGGGTGGCCCTGTGTCCCATCTTCACCCAACTGGCTGTGGGGCTGTAGCGGCATGTGGCCATGGTTCTCACTCATGATGGGGCTGAACAAGTTCTTGATGCAATCAGAAATTCTAACCCAAGGGTCTTCTGTGGTGGCGTCAAAGCTATAGTCCATCCGAGCCTGCCTCTTCAGCAGCGGGTGTCTTCCTGGGGATGGTTGGTGAGCTAGAGGGAGGAAAGAAGGCAGAGCTATGCATTACACCTTAGTATGAGTCTCCTTCTAAGCTTGACTTCAAGGTTGAACACGGCAAGGAGGATTTCTAGAGGAGGAGATTGGAGAAAGTGGGTCTTTCAATGGGAAGATCCCTGGGCTTTCTACTCCCATAAAGAGTTGCCGTCTGGGAAACTCACAGGGGCAGTTCTACCCTGTCGTAGAGGGTCGCTGGCTGCGAGTCAGCATTGACTGGCTGGCAGTGTGTTTGGTTGGTTATTTTTTATGATCCAGGTGCTATCTATCAACAGCCAGGATGGAGGAGCCAGAGGTAAGAGCCACTCCAGGATGCCTCAGTCTCAGAGCTAGAAGCGGTTTCAGAGGATACTGGGCCCAACTGCTTGCATTTCATCCTTGCGGGGTGGAATGCTGGAAAAGAGCCAGGGCGGGCTGATGGAAGAAGCAAGGCCAGACACCCCCCCACCCTCAAGGCCCCCAAGGCCCCGCGTTTACAGGCTCCAGTGGCACTGAAGGGGCCTCCCGAGGCACTTATCAAACATTTAAAACTCAAAGCAGCTTTCTCCTCACGTCAACGTTTAAACCAAACCCACTGCCATCTAGTCGGTTCCGGCTCACAGCAACCCGGAGAGCAGAACTGCGCCGGGTTCCCAAGGCCTTCGCTCTTGGTGGCAGCAGGCGGCCCTCGCTCTCCCTGGAGCCGGCGCGGCTGGTGGCTTAGGACTTGCAAAGCCGCCATTGCTGCTAATGGCCCAGGAAGCCATTCTGTGAGGACGAACACAAACTCCGCGGACTTTAAGCTCCAAGGGGACTGGACGGGTAATACTGTGAGTGGGAAAATGTTTGGGGAAACAGCTTTCTGGGATTGTCACCTCTGCACCTACATGTATACGTGGAGAATTGCAACCAAATCTCTATTGGTGTACGTCGAATGAAAGTCTTCCAATAAACAGAAAGTAAAAATGCTGAACAATAAATTAAGGGGGAAAGGGGAATGTAGTGGCGTAGGTCATGTGACAACAATTTTTTTTAATTAAAAAGAGCAAAGCCGTGTGAATATGAGGCCTTCCTGTGGGGCGCGCATCAGTTCTTCACCCCCAATCTTCACCACAGTTCTTACCCCGACTATGGACAGTCCCTCCTCTCACCCACGTCCTCACCTGGCCCTGCAAGCCACAAGAATTTGCTACTCTCCCTGTTGCTTCACGGGGCCACTGAACTGGTTCCGACTCATGGGGACCCCGAGGAGAACTGTGCTCCGTAGACCTTTCCCAGGTCGGGAGCAGATCTCCAGGCTGGTGCCTCTGGGTGGCTTTGAACCACCCACCTGCTGGGGCTAGCAAGAGAGCACTTTATCAGCCCGCTCAGCTTGCTCTCCAGTCTAAAAGCCCACTGCCGCGGGGGGATTCTGACTCTGAGTGGCTGTGTCGGACAGAGCCACGCTGCCCCGAGGGTTTCCAAGGCAGAAACTTTACAGAAACTGACTGCCACACCTTTCTCCCTCGGAGCGGCCAGTGGTTCAAACCACAGACTGCGCGGTGAGCAGCCAAATGCCTTCATCGCTGCGCCACCACATCGCCCTGCACGATCTTGTTCGAGGGTTATGAAGGAGAGAAGCTCACTGACAGACCTCCTCAACGGTTGCTGCCCGTCGGAACCTGAGGAGCTTTCAAAACACAGACTCCCACTTTGGAGATTCTGACCCCATTCACCCAGGGTGCAGCCTGGGCTGGGAGCGTCTGAGAACATCCCCGGGGATTAGAAGGTGCACCCCATTTTATGAAGCTCCAGGACCCCAGGCAGACGCTCCAAGCTCACTGGTTCACCGCTGGGTGGGGAGGGCAGTCTTCCCAGGAGGCCAGCACAGAATCGGCATCCCATCCAAGCGGGGAGGGACATTGCCCCTGACTCTGTGGCTGAGCCCCACCCACACAGCCAACGGACCGAGCGGATGAGTGGCTCGGCCACGAGCCCTCCCCGTGACCTGGTTAAGAGCATGCTGCTCTCGCTGTAGACTTTGGGGGATGCCCGGCACAGGAATGGGACCCACTTTACGGGAGACCTATCCTCCCTGTCCCGTGTCTCCACGCCAAGCTTCAAGCAAAGCGAACTGTAGCACTTCGGCCTTGAAGGCATCAAAGAGAAGCTCCGAGCCACCCAAAAGACCTGCTACTGCTCACAGTGAGGCTGCTTGTGCATTTACGAAAACACTGTGCTTCCAGGGGCTGTTACAGGAAGCAGAAACCAGAGGTTATAAATAAGTCCTTTGCAAAGTGAGGTGAGAAGTGAAGCTTTTGTCCATAGAACCCTTGACCCCTGGTCCACAGCTCAATTGTTATCAGGAGGGACCAAGCCCCTGGAGGAGGGCATCGTGCTTGGTAAAGGAAAGGGTTAGCAAAAAATAGAAAACCTCTCAACAAAGTGCATTGACATATTGGCTATAACAATGGGCTCCAATGTGACAATGATTGTCAGGGTGGTACCTGGCCCGGCGGGTGCGTTCTGCTGTGCACAGGGCCGCCATGACTCCGCATTGTATCGGTGGCCCACAGACAGCAACAGCCAGGGCAGGGAGCATGGAGGAGGAGAAGCCTGTGCTAGCTGGGTAAGCCACACCAGATCTTTCCCATCTGTGATGATACTAGGCCCCACCAAAGCCCGAAGCGGTCTGTGTGCTATTTCGGCAGCATCTCCCCAACTGACACACAGGGTGTAGCCTACACACTTACTCTGTGACTCTGCCATTAGCTCCTTACTCTCAGAGGCCAGTCTCTCGCTCTCCCTCTTTCCCCCTCGCTCTCTCTCCAGCACCCAGCACTGCATCCCACCAAGCCAGCAGTCAATCCATGGTTGCAGAATGGAATCACACGCTGGAGTTCCGTGTGCTTTCCCACATCCTACTCCTGTGTGACGTGGCCCAGAATCACACGGTTTAGGGAAAGGCTGAGTCAGGGGTCTTTTCCTGGTTTTCCAGACTCCCAAATCCTATACTTTTTCTGGAAAACCACTGAACACTCAGCGTATGTCTTAGCATCCTGAGACAGTATCGGGACCTGCACCCCACCCCCCATGCCCCATCTGCCTGACGGAGGATGCCGCCACCAAGGGAAGGCTCACGTGCTTTCCTGCCACAGTGGGCTCTTCTCAGGCTCAGAAATGCTGAATGCAACACCCTGGCGGCACCTTCCGGACGGCTGGCCAGCAGAGGGCCTACAGAGGGCATCTTTGGGCCTTTCCCAAAGGGCTCCATCATCCAATTGAGTTTAGGGTTCACACTGTACTTTCTCATGAAGAAATCATCCCGCCACCCTCACGACCACTACCCCCACCCCCCCCCCCCCCCGCCCCAGCATCACGGACCCAGCCAGTGGGTTGCAACCAGAGTCCCTGGTACCCTCTCTTCTGGCCTGCTTCCCACAGTGCCTGGAGGCCCCTGCTCATCAGAGCCGCCATTTCTTTATCTCTCTCTCTCTCTCTCTCTCTCTCACACACACACACACACACACACACACACATGCAGAATGCACCCACACTCAGGTGCTCACCTCACCCTCCAACCTTTGTCCCGGACCCATCTCTTCTGGGATATTGGAATGAAAGCCTACCTGGGTTGGCTCTCGTGACAGGCTCACTCTCTGGGGAGGCTGTCACCTTCTGGGCAGCTCCGGGTCCAGGGCAGCAGGCAAGGGTGCCGGGGGTTCCCCCTGCTGCGTCTTCCTGTTGAGGCTGAGGTGGCAGCGGCTCTCTTGCTTCCTGTGGTGTAAACAGGAAGTGAGACTGTGTCTAAACCGCTGCCTTCAGCTGTGAGAAGGCAAGGCCCCTCTGACAGGGGCCGGAGGGTGGACATAAAGCTGCTTAGCGAGATCAGCACCAGAGAGCATCCCTTCACTCCAAAGGACTGTTGGGGTGTGTGAAAAACCTGGACCCTGTGTGATGGGGAGAAGACCCTGGGGGGTGGGGGTGGGGGGTAGAGAGAGGGGTGCTTAAGGTAAGGTGACTAGATTTTAACACTGGTAAAGCGGGACACCATTGATAAAACTCATATCCTGGCGAAACAGCCACATGGCAGCAGAAAACTGTATACCCTAGTTTGTCATGCATTCTTCCAAAAATCAGGACTTTTTAAAAACGCCACGGGACAGACACGGGACAAATTGTTAAAAATCGTGACTGTCCCGCCAAAAGCGGGACGTCTGGTCACCTTAGCTTAGGGAGACTAGCATGGCTCTCTGTGGATCCTGGCTAACTCACTTTCCCAGGAAGGCACACAGCAGAGTTGAACCCTGACAGAGGGACCAAGAGTTTCCATCTGGTTTTCGGTAAACCCAGGTTAGAACACTCAGGAAAACTGTGCCCAGTGCTTTGGGTGCCATCACTCAATCTTTAGTCAGCACGCCGCAAAGGATGGCAACTACTTGTACTCTGCATCTGTCGGGTGACCTGGCTCATCTAGTGCAGAACTGCCCGCCAAGGCTGGCTGCCGTCTCAGGCTCCCTCATCCATCAGTCTGGGAGAGAGACAGAGCAGGCACCAGGCTGTTATGTGATACTGAGCTTGGATTCGCATGAAGCATGCGTGGATGCTGAGGGAGCCCACAGGGAGGAGGGAGCACCCGCCCTGCCCAGCGAGGGGAAGAGGCTTGTCTAGGCTTTGAACATAGAGAAAGGATCTTCTAGGCAGAGAAGTAGGTGATAAGTATCAGCTAGAGAGAGAAAAAGCATGATACCGGCTCAGGAAAACACACACACACACACACACACACACACACACACGAAGACAGACATCAGCCAAACAACACCCCTCTGCTGAGATGTCTCCAGGTTAGAGCAGTCGCAAGCCAGACGTAAGGATGGGCTCTTTGGCAAGGCTACAGGCTTCCCTCCAAAAAGGAAGGAAGGCATAGCAAAGCAGCATTTGAAATGGAAAACAACAACAACAAAATGGACAGGTGTCCTTGCCGTGAATTCAATAGCTACATTGTCAGTAAGCATTCCCTGGAGCTAAAAGTCTACACGATTTAGAAATGTATTCACAGCACGTATGCAAGGGCTGCCCCAGCCCAGGTCTGCTATGGTGAAACTGAACTGTAGGGCCTGTTGGAAATACCAAGAGGTCACCCAGCACAAAGGCATCGTCGGACTTCTCATAATCGTCCTCAGAAAATCAGGGGCTGCCCGAGACAGTACAAACTTCATGCATCCGGTCAACCATGTCGAAGACTCTCATCGCAGAGAAAACCAGTGACATGTGGCACCCGTTTAATTGAGCTCCAAAGTGACACCTGCCCCCACCATGGATGGTGAGCACTTTGATAGGCAGGCACTTTGGGGACCAAGAAGTAGTCCATACAACTTTGTATCTGGGAACAGATTCAGTGTATTCTATCTTTTCACTAACATATCGGATGCCAGATCCATTACGCAGGTGGTTTAAACTTAGCCCCTTACACGGCTTTCCAAGCAGTGTTTCAAGACAGCATGTTTGGTGAAAGAGGAAGAAAGAAGATTGCAGAAAGAAAGAAAAGGGAGTTATTTGGGGGTGGGGGTGGGAGAGAACATGTATTTTAGACACAGACGATAGTTTGAGTTGATTTCCTAAAAGAATAAGAACTGCTCAGTTTTTCACTCACTGCCATCTGACACAGACTTCCCTTGTGGCTGAGATTGTAACTCTTGACAGCCCCGTCTTCCTCCGGTGGAGCGGCTGGTGCTCTCTGACTGCTGGCCTTGTGGCAAGTAGCCCAATTCATAACCCTCTATGCCATCAATCCCCCTCACCTTTTAAAAAATTACTTTTCCCTGTGGATTGGGTGAAGGTTTACAAATCATCAGTGTTACATTCAACAGTTCACACAGCCTCCGTTCCGTGTCATGGGTTGCAATCCCCACAACGCACCACCCCTCATCCCCTTCGCTCCCTGCGCCTCCTGTTCCTATCCTTCCTTCGTTCCTCATCCTTCAGAACGCTGTGCTTGGGTAAATGCCACCCTGCTGCCAAGGGCTACCTCTCTCCTGTTGGTTTTCCCTTTGTAGACCTGCTTATCTTTGGCTGAAATTGAGCCACGAGGGTGAGTTCGGTTCCAAACCTGAAGGCTGACTACGGGTCACAGGCTCAAGGATCCCAGCATTTCTAGCCAACCAAGAAGCCTGGTCTCTTTTATAATTTTGAGGTTTGCTTCACATTTTTCTCCCGCTCTGTCCATAACCTTCTAACGGGATCCCCTGCAGAGAAATTGGCAGGAGAACTGCTCTGTTGGTGAAGAAAAAACTAGGATGGTTGTTTGGGTTGTGGAACTTGAGTCTCCTAGAGTTAGATGGGAGAGAGTCTTGGGACCCTGGACAGAAAAAGATGGGAGAGGGAGAAAAGATAACTGAGAAAGATAGTTTAAAGGATAGAGGATAGATGATAGATAGATAGATAGATAGATAAGTAGATGATAGATAGTTGATAGATAGATGATAGATGATGATAGATAAGTAGGTAGGTATGTAGATAGATGATAGATATATAGTTGATAGATAATCGATAAGTAGGTAGGTATATAGATAAAGGATAGAGATAGATCGATAGATCGATCGATCGATCGATAGATAGATAAGTAGATGATAGATAGTTGATAGATAGATGATAGATGATGATAGATAAGTAGGTAGGTATGTAGATAGATAGATGATAGATATATAGTTGATAGATGATCGATAAGTAGGTAGGTATATAGATAAAGGATAGAGATAGATCGATAGAGAGATAGATGATAGTCACAGACAGAGAGACTGAAAGATGGACAGACACCTAAGGCACACTTCTTGACTCTGGGGCCCTAGGGAAAATGAAATCTTTGCTTAAAGACGGAAGAGGAAGGCGATTCACCTCTGCACCCACATGGCCTGTTGCTTAACCAGCCACTTCCTGCCAGCTCTCTGCACAACTTCACTCCCTTGTCAGTAACCTGGCTTCCTCCTCTCTGGTTTCCCTTTCACCCCTCAGCACTGGACACCCCCTCCCCACAACCGCACACCTCCACTACTCAGGGGTCCCCTGCCCCTCCTGAAGTTTGTCATAGATTGTGAGAGGGGATTTCCAGAGGCTCCAAATACCACCTGTCCAGAGAAGCAGGGCCGGGGTAAGGATGTGAAGGGGGAAAAAGCAGCCAGAATTGTCCAGTCCAACCCTGACTTGTGGCAAACCCATGTATTACAAGGTAGAGCTGCTCTGCCGTGTCTTCTTGGCCATAATTTTAAGGAAAGTAGATTGCTAGGTCTTTCTTCAATGGAGTGTCCAGCTGGATTTGAACCGCTGATCTTTAGGCTAGTAACCAATTGCAATCTGCTGGCTCCACCCCGGCTCCAACTTGAGATCAAAAAAACCCCAAATAAACCAAAGTCAAACCCACTGCCGTTGAGTTGATTCTGACTCATCGTGACCCTACAGGGCACCAGCAATGCCACACACACACACACAAACACAAACACGCCCTGGCTCTGTGCATCTACAAAGATCGCAGCCGAGAATCTCTGTGGAGCATTCACAGCACAGAGGGTTGCCAGAAGTCAAGTTGACTCAGTGACAGAGGACTTGCATTTGGGGTTTGACACCAAAGCTCTCCCAGGTAGGAGAAACCGGGAGATCCCATGCAAAGGCCCCACCTCCATCCCCCCTGGGAACCCACTCCATTGCCATGAGCTCAAAGAACGAGACTCAAAAGGACCCAGTGTGCCGTGGGTGGGAATCTGCAAGTTCACGAGGAGCAGTGGGACATCAATTTTAGAACAGCCAGGCTTCTAAACCCTCTTTCTGCTGTCAGCCTCGAACCTGAGCTAGGTTCCTTCTCTGTGATCATTTGAGCCCCGGAACCTCCCGACCCACTGTCAGCTCATCGATGCGATTCAAACTCATCGAGGGCTTTCTGCGGCTGTGCATCTTGATGGGCATGGACAGCCTCATCTTTCTCCCACGGGTTGGTTCAAACGGCTGACTTGCACTTAGCAGCCCAGCCCTTAACCCAGGCGTCACCCTTGACACCAACAGGAAGGAGAAGGCTTCGCCAGGGGGATAACTGCCGTGGGGAATCCTGAGCAGCCCTGCTGGGCTCAGAACGCTCCACTCACCAGACACAGGCTCTTACCTGACCACTGTTGGGCTCGGTGTGCCCAGAAGAGTGCACGGAGGTCTCTCCCTCTTCCGGGCTCCTCTGGGGGCCAAGGTCACATTTGAAGTATTTTCTGGGTGGAGGCTTGGGCTTGGAGGATGTGGGCTTTCTCACTAAAATCTCAAAGGATTTCTTCAGTCTCAATGGTGGGTGGCCATCCTGGTTTCCAAGGAGGGGTGGGCTCTCCTGGGGCATTCTGGGTGCTGCTGAGGACAGCACCTGGGTCTCCTGTCCGCAGTTCCGGGTGGCACTGTGTGTGCTCAGTTCCAGGTCAGGGGCCTGCTGCTCATTGCTGCCCCTGTGGGGACTCCCTCCTGGGGACCCCGACATGTAGCTGCTGTCACTGCTGGAACGAATCATGATCTTCTGAGCCCTGCGCTGTGGGGGTGCAGAATTCTTCTCCCGCTCCTTCTCCAAGGTTGGCCGCCCATGCCAGCTGCTCTCTAGCCTTTTGACACCTGCATGTGAAGCACAAGGGAGTCTACAGCTGAGCTTCAAAGATCTAAACACCCCCCCCACCCCCACCACCAGCCTTGCTCAGGTGGCCAGGCATAGCACACCACATACCCAGCTGTCTGTTCTCACATGGCCATGTTGGGTTTGGCCCCTGATCAGCTGCATGACTGCAGGCTTGGAGGAATCATTTGGCTTTTCTGAGTGTGGTAGATATATAATCACTTGTCAATTTGAGAATTAAGAGTGTAGGGGTGGAGTCTAGCTTGTCAATCAGATCACAGCCAGTGAAACCTCTGTATGGGCATGGCCTTCTCCTGAGAATTCTGGGAAATCCGGTACTTCCTCCTTGGAGGTGGGAGATTTTGCTCACACCTAGGAGACATAGCAGCTGACAAGACACATGGACCCACCCTGATACAGATATCGCGCTGAGATGTTTCCAATTCCACTGGATCCAAAGACTTTCTACCCACTGGCCTGTGATCTACATTCGGCATCATTGCATGTGTTGTGTGAGTCTGAAGAGGACTTTATAGATTGGTATGGGACACATGGGCTAGGGACTTAGGGACTTGATCTGGACTGGGCTGGGATGTTTTCTCAATGTTCAATTGCTCTTGTCTATAACTCTCTCTCTTATACACACATGTGTGTCCATGGATTTGTTTCTCTAGTCCACCCAGACTGACACACGGAGGCTCCATGGGGTGGGCATGGAGATGCTGTGTACAGATTGTCCCCCGAGGAAGAACTTGCTGTCCAGCTGTGGGAGCAGTCCGTATCTAGTGACTGCTAGAGATGAGGTAATCAAGGCCCAGCCACTTCTACTCAACTCAGGTCAACTCTAAGGGGCCCTGTTAGCCCAGCATACAACATGCCTTTTCTCAACTGCAATGGGAGCATAATGCGCTGCCCATCCCTGAGCTGATCTTGAGGGTCAACATCAAAGAAAGAGACTATCGGTGAACGTTCTTTGAACTTCCTATCAAGAGGTGGCCATTTCTCTCCAGCTAACAGTGAAACTCAGCCATTAAATCACTGGTTTCACAGACATGACTTTCTCTTTCTCTCAGCTCTCTTCCCAGCTGTCAACCCTCTCCCTCTCCTTTCTAACACCAGGGCCATCTACACATCCTCCAGTGACCCTTCTCCAAAGGTATCCCTTTTTGAGAGTCCCAGGAGGTGGGGATAATTGCAGATTGAAGCCCCGGGCTCTTGTCCAAGTCCCAGCTCACCCTGGGAGGTTAGGAGAGCCTGGAAGGTCGTAAGATAGCCCCTGCCTTAGGAGCGAACCAAAGCCAACTGTGCTCATCATTCAAAGACACGGCTTTTTCGTTGTTTTAAAATAACGTGTCCTCATTAGAGAAAGCTCAGCCATGGCACCCCACTCCCCACCCCCTCCCCAACCAAACTCACTACCATCGAGTCAATTCCAGGGAAGGACTTAATGTCAGACTTCACCTGCCATCCTCTTCCGGAGGGATGGCCACTGTCGCAAATGTCAGCTGGTCTCTTGGCCTTTTGACTGTATTCATATTGGGTAGGTGGGAAGGGTAGAAAATGTTTGAAATAAATGCTGTGTTCTACCCTCTTCTTCAAATGCCCCCCTCAGATGGTGTCACCCCTTCGTTCATAGCAGTGCTAGTGGTTGCACGTTCCTCTATGGTAAGGATGTTTTAGTGATGATGTGGCCAATGCCCCTCAGTTGGGCACTGAGAGAGGGAGAGCCCGGGCTCTGGAGTCATTCCACCTGGATGCTCATTCCAAATCCTCTGCTGACTAACTGGTGTGGCTTTGGGTAAGGCAGCCTAAGCTGTCAGACCCTCATCTTTCTTATAAAACACAGTATACATGTTTGGTGTGATGAGCTGGTGGGGGGCGGAGCGGGGGTGCTTGAGATGAAATGAGTGCAGGGTCTAACCTAGACTAAGAACATCATTAGGGTTGCCTATTACCTTTATAGGTGTTGTTATTTCTAAGTGTTTTGTCATGGGAGAAGGTTATTGTTGGTGGGTGACTGAGACAGAGTAGAACTGCCCCTAGTCTGTTACCTTCCCAGAAGTAGACCACCAGGGCTTTCTCCCATGAACCTGCTCCATGGGTTAGAACCGCCAACCTCTCAGTTAGTAGTCAAGTACTGGAGCATGGCACCACCAGGGTAGCAAACTCAACTGCCCCCAGGGGCTAGTATGTAAATGACAACTTAGTAGATGGTAACACACTGTGGCTCATGATGGCCTATGGAGAACTAGAGTTTCTACCCCACCTAGACTGGTTCAAGTTCAAGATGCTTGTAAAATTTAGTGCCATCTGAACAATGGAAAAAAATGTGAGCCAAAATTAACTGGTGGGCTTCTACTCTCGTCTATTTACGATGCCTGTTGACTCTGTTGTGCATAGGGTCCCCAGAGCTGGAACCAAAGGCAGCCATTGACGATGCTTTGATGACTGGTATAGCTCCTGAGACAGAAACGAATTCAAAGCCTAGCAGAACTCCAGCTAGGCTCTCCAAGAAGGCATATATTTCAAGGCAAAGTTCACCATTTCCCTTACCGTCCAGACTCCACTGATGCCTCTCCTTTCCAAACTTGACGTTCTCCACAGCCTGGGACACCGCTTCTTTGAGTTGCTGTTCAGAGATCTAGAAAGCAGCACATCACCTCCTCAAAAGAAGCGCAGAAACTCCCAGTGCTAACACCCTGCCTCAGGCTCACAGTGCTTTACCAGCTCCCAAACTTGGCTTCTCGTGTGATCATTTTTATGACTGGATAATTGAATGGGACTGAGTCTGATTCCACTGCACAGAGCATATGTTGATCTTCCTCATTATTCCATTCAGTATCCTCTTTCCCCTGGCAGTTTGGGAGTCAGTTAAGAGCATAGGATTTGGGACCGAACAAGCAGGAGTCAGACTCCTAGTTTTCCTCTCTGTCCTATAGAGTTGCTGTGAGTTGATTGACTCCACAGCTAGGCTTCTGTTTCAGCTCCTCCATGGGAGCCTCCTCGGCCTGTGTCTCTGCCTCCTCCTCAGGGAAGCCCAGGAAATCATGGTACTGACTGCACAAGGCTGTACACCAACTGAATGTATCTGGCCCATCTTTGACGAGCATACCTGGCACCTGCCGGGGATGTAATAAAGGGTGGTGATGACTTTTCCTGGAAGTACTATCTCCTCGACTCAGAGCTTCAACTCCCAGGTCTGGCTCCAGTCTGGATCTCTTTCACCAGGAATGATCAGCCCTAAACGATCCCAGAGGCCCCTCAGTCTCATTGTGTCCCCCACTGAGATCACGCTCTTCCCTCCCAAACTTGCTTGTCCAAGCCTATTCTCTATTCTGATGGTGGTGTTGCCACTTCTTCACCTCCCAATCTACATAGAGTCATGCTTTATTTTATTATAGTCCACCTTATAGGGCTCTGTAGATACTGTTGTGTGTTTCAGCGTTTTAAATGTTTTAACAAATTGAAAGTTTGTGACAACCTTGCATCGTCGATGAAGGCTACTGCACCCTTTTCTGGCAGCAAGTGCTCAACTTCGGGACTCTGTGTCACACGTCACAGATTCTCACAGTGCTTCAAACTGTTTCCGAATGCATGCAATTGATTGCACACTCGCTAGACTATGATATAGCACGAATGTCGCTTGCATATGCACTGGGAGACAGAAAAGATCCCATAACTGGCTTCATTTCTAAATTAGTTGTATTGCAGTGGTTTGGAGCAAACGTTATCATCTCATGGACGTATGCCGTGTTGGACAATCAACCAGGCTCTTCCCTGAGTCACCCAGAGCTGATCAGTCAACAGAGGCTGCCCCCTTTTTCCCCAGTGTTGTCACCTCTGCTTGCTTCCTTTCAAACCTTTTCACATCATCTCTCTCCTGCCTCTGCTCAGCATTTCTCACAACCTCCATGCTGGCTTCCACAATGTGATCAAATGAAACATATATAGACATACATGCGGGAGTAGCAAAAAAGATTTAAAAACTAGAATTACGCTGGGTGGAGCAGAGCTTTCTTTTTTGTTTTGTTTTTTAAATCATTTTATTGGGAGCTCATACAACTCTTATCACAATCCTTGCATACATCCACTGTGTCAAGCGCATTTGTACATTTATTGCCATCATCATTCTCAAAACATTTTCTTTCTACTGGAGCCCTTGGTATCAGCGCCTCATTTCCCCCCCTCCTTCCTCCTCCCTCTCTCATGAGCCCTTGATAATTTATAGATTTTTTTTTCATGTCTTACACTGTCTGATGCCTCCCTTCACCCACTTTGCATAGCTTTCATAGTACACATTTTCCCCACTAGGCAAGCATTGAGCAACTTGCTCTGACTTAGTGCACCCAGTGGCGTCACCTGGGAAGGTTCTCTGGTCACATTTCTGTGTGAAAGCAGTTTCATTCAAACCTTGTTTTTTGTGATGGTGATCTAAGATCAGCATGTTGCTGTGAAATTTTGTTTCCTGCTCAGGAAAAATGCTGCAGAAAGTGTTGTGATGTTGAACACAGCTTACAAGGGCAGCACTATGGGAAAAACTCAAGTGTACAAGTGTAGTCTTCTCATTTCAAAAAAGGTGAAATGTTGATTGATGACAAATGTTGATTGATGATGCCCATCAAATTCCTGAATGAATGAAAATGCCGACTCCTAGTACATTTGGAGTTCGTTCCACCAGGTCAGACTGTTAATCAAGCTTTCTATTTAGATGTTCTGAAAACATTGTGTAACAGTGTGTGACCAAAAAAGGCCTGATTTGTGGCAGATAGGGGACTGGTTTTGCCACCACCATAATGAAACTGCTCATGCAGCCATTTCAGTGCACCTGTTTGGGGCAAAAAACAGCATGCCTCTCCTTCCCCATGCACTTGTCTCACCTGACTTCACTCCATGAAACTTATTCTTGTCTCCACGAGTGAAGAGGGGCATGAAAGGACAGAAATTTGACAATGTAGAAGAGGTGAGAAAAAAAAACAACTGAGTGGTGAAGAAGAAAAAAAAACGAGGGAAGTGCTGTCAGATGAGTTTTAAAAATGTTTCAAAGGATGAAATTGCAGATTTGACAAATGTATTAAGTGTAATAGAGAGCACTTTGAAGGTGATAAGGTTGTTTGGGGGAAATTTTTAACATAAAGCTTTGAAAAAATATTCCAGTTTTGGGGGGTACCCCCTTTCTGTGTGTGTGTGTATATATATAAAATCAAACATATTATATATATTTAACATATATATGGACATGTTACAACTATGGCTTCAGGTCTACCCTCACTCCTCACGCCTCACAAAATAAAATACAAAAAAATGAATGCAAACTATATATACACTAAAAATTGTTCTGGTCACCAGGGAAAAATGAAAATAATAATAAATAAAATAAAATACAAACTATCTAGCATCCTGTTGGCAGCGCTTCACCATGTAACTCCATTGCCACACCAGCCTCATTATTGACTCCTGCCCCCCTCCCCCATTCCCTTATATCCTAACCACACTGAGCGGAGTACTTTCTTTCCATGAGGCCCCTTCATGACTCTGTCACTTGATGCATGTTCCCATCACCCAGAATGACCTTCCTCAAATTCTCTGCCTGGTGAAATCTTGCTTTATCAACTCTTCCATTCTGTTCCCCACTCTGCTTACCAATGGACATTGCAATCAGTTCTGTGTCAGCCTCTCTGAGGAGACCAGAGGGCAGACTGTGTATTGTCAAATCGCTTACCTGTGCATCCTCAGTGCCTACCTCTAGACCCCCCACTTGCTGGGTATTTAGTTAAAGATGTGTGGATGCATGATGCTCTTGTACCTGCTAGCAAGGACCCTGGGTCCCTAGTTTCCTGCCTGACAACTATAACTAGTTACAACAGCTTCCCTGAGTCAATACTAATTGCCTCTCATGTCTACGAGTTTGTCAATGGACCTCTGCTACAGATATTTATTACTGCAGAAACTTGGAGCAGCTCATTGAAAATTTAGTGTGCAGCCTGAGCAGTCAGTCATGCCTCATCCAACTCCCATACTATGAGAGTGAGCCTGGGAAGGAGAGGATGGCCCAGCAGGTGTTACCTGTGGGTCTGGATGTCGGCTAACAATGATGGGGATGGAGCCAGGGCTGCAGTGGCTCAGAATGGTGTAGACTTCATTGAGCGTCATACAGTGCACTGGCGAGTCGTTGATCTCCACGATCTCATCACCACACCTGCAAAAGCCAACAGTAAGCTAATCAATGTGGCAATGCAACCACCTCCCCCAGGGACGCCCACTCCTGGCAAGGCTTTCTGGTGAGACCTGAAAATCCAGTAAGTACATAGCTCTCTGGGCACCTGAGGGGAACTGAGAACAGAGCAGCGCGGCCCATAAATATGGAAGACATTTCAGGCCACAAGTGAGTCAGCCTGAACAAAAAGTTCACGTTCCCACAGAAAAGTTCCTTTCCCACGAAACCATGCCCCAGCAAGATTGAGGGGTGGGTGCCGAACAGGAAGAGAAAATGAAATCACAGAGCAGCGTTTGGCTGAACAGTCCCAAACACTTCCTCCTTCTCATTGGGCCTCAGTGCTCCCATAGCATGGGACAGTTAGGGCTGGGTGGGATGTACTGAGAGGTAAAGAAGGAATCATGGGGCAGGTGAGCAGGTGAGGTTCTTATGGGAAGAAATAAGGAGAGCTGGGTAAGGTGTTCTAGCTACTTGCAAGGTAGGAAATCAGGTACTAACGATCTAAGGAGCAGGGGCAAAAATAAGGTAGGGAATTAAGATTCAATCCATACGTGGAGGTTGGCAGAATATTTGTTTCATAGACAGGGAAACTTAGGTACAAAGGGTATAGTGACCTCCCTGATTCTACCTAGCTCAGAACTTGACAACATTTTTATAATGGATCAAATGGTGAACAGGTAGGCTCTAGGGTGCCATACAGTTTCTATCACAACTACTCAGCTCGACCATTGATAGCATGAGCGCAGCCATGGACAGGAAGCAAACAAATAGCCTGGCTGTATGCTAAGAAAGCTCTATTTACCAACACAGGTTGGTGAGTTGGCTTGGCCAGCCCAGGCCTAGCTCTGCCTCTGACTCATCGCATCACTAAGATGATGGATAATTATGTCAGTGGAAGCTCCCAGAAGGTTGGCCTGTGTATTCTATAGGAAAAGATAGACTGATTGAACACACAGGTTCACAATGGCATAAGGAAAACCTTCGGTTGACGCCATGGCAGTGAGTGGGAGTTTGGCCACACCAGGCTGAGAACTCAGGTCTCTTGATCTTGACCTCGCTGTCCCTTCCACTGCAGCCTCCTCCTCATACATTTCTGTGGAGTCTGATCCATCTTCACTGTGGCTAAGACAGCACACGTGTTGATGGACATGCCTGATGATTACTGTCCTTCAGCACTCGATTCAAAGAGAGTAGAAACTTATAGGATAATTCCTCCCTGGGACTAAGATGATAAGAGCACATGGCCCCGTGAATTCACTCTCACGCTCCTGCACATGACACCCGGCAGCCCACCTCTAGTTCACACGTCTGTCAAGGCCCCTTGCAGAACAGTGCTTGCCTTGCCCTTGAATGTATTGCCAGTCTAGGGAAACCTCTGTGAACCTGACAAAGTATGGTCTCTCCTGATGGAGCCCAACTCAAACTCAATGAGAGACGCTGTCTCCATAGCAAATGTGAAGGTGGGCGTGGCATATAAAAGATTATAGGAAGTTGAACTTCACTGTTGTAAATTCCACACCTTACTAAGCAAGGACAACAACAAAATAAGGTTGTATTCAGAAGTTATTGGTCCAACACTGTATCAGGACTGCCTACGTGAATATGTTTTGTTATGCCAGGGTAAAACTACAGGTGTTTATACTACAGAGTGGTTTAATCAGCTTATTTTCCCATACAGAATAGGAGCCAACTTTATGGAAACTCCTATTCATGTAACAATCACTCCTGGCAGAGCTAAATCAGAATTAAAATGCAGTTACCTCTTGTTTTTTGGTCTGGACTTGTATTTGGGGAGCTGAAGCTCCCTCAAGTGTAATGCGCATACAGATCACCTTGCTGGGATGCAGGGCCTTCTTTGAACGCAGAGTCTGCGTTCCTGGGAGCTCACTGGTGATGCTGATGCTGCTGCACCAGGGGCTTCATGTGGAGGAACAGGCTCTGAGTCTCTTTGGGGCCTTCATTCTAATCCTCTCTCCAAAGCAAGCCTCTGACAGTTCCCAGCATGCGACAGCAGGGTTCTTTCCAAGAAGGGAAACAGACACATACCGAAGCCTTCCGTCCAGATGCGCCACAGATCCTGGGGAGAGTGTGTGAACGAAGATGCCGGAGATGCACTGGAAGTAGGGGATGCTGCACAGGCCGATGCCCAGGCCGACGCCAGCCTCTGAAAGGCAGAACGGGGTGGAGGGACTTGTGATTGAACTTCGCAGGCACTGACAAGCCTACCAGGGGTCTCAATATCATCACAGACCAGTGAAGTGCCCCCAATTTATCACGTCACCTCTTCTACTCATATACCTGGACCACCTACGAGGGACAGGTCCCTGGGTAGTACAGATGGTTACTGTGCTTAGCTGCTAACCAAAAGGTTGGATGTTTGAGTCCACAAAGAGAAAGATAGGGTGACCTCTTCCAAAAAAACATCAGCCATTGAAAACCCTTGGAGCACAGGTCTACCCAAACACACACGTGGTCCTCCGGAACCAGCAGTGATTTGGTGCCAAGGGAGTTCTCTTTTTGACTGTGTGCAGGGCCCAGGCTAGGATCGGCAACAGTGGTCGGGGAGAACCAAGGTCTCAGGGCTCATACGTTCAAGTGATGAAAGGAAGGAAGGGCGGGGGGAGAAGCAATCGGAGAGTGAAGCCCACTACTTAGACTATGCTGGACCATGATGGCTTGCCTCAAAGGAGGCAACACTTAATCTGAACTGTGAAATATGAGGAGGAGCCTGGGCAAACTGTTCCCAGGGGAGGAAACGGCCGATGCAGTTAGGAGGGTGAAGGTGGTGCAGGGCCAGAGAGGCAGGCAGGGTGGCCAGCGCACAGGACGGCCAGTCACCAAGGCCATGGTGCGAGATGATGTAGGAGAGGGAGCCAAGGCAGATGAAATGGGGCTTTGTACATGAGGGTGTCCCGGTCAAAGGCTGTTATTCTACATTGAGGGGGGATGCCGTGGAGGAGTTGCGAACAAGGAAGTGACATGATCTAATTTCTATTTTAAGGATGTAACTCTGGCTGCTGTGAGGAGGAAAAAAAACCAGTACGAATGAACACAAGGAGGCCATTTGAGAGGCTACTGTGGAGCAAGACAATGGAGGCTTGATGTCACTGTGGGGGCAAGATGGAGAGACAGGGATATACATGAAATCTCTCCTGCAGACAGCTGGAAAGATGGGCAAGACAACACTGTCAGAGATGCTTGGGCTTGAATGACTGGGTAAGTGATGATGCTGTCCTTCCATGGGGGAAAGCGGGTGGGAGAGCAGGGCTAGGGCGATGGTGGGCTTGCCCAAGTTACTCTTGACTTGAGATGCCCGTGAATTATCCAACTGGACCTGCAGCGCAGGCTGCTGGATAGAGGAATCTGGAACTCAAGGAATTAAACTTGGCAAAGGAAAAGAACCATGGACAAGGGGTTAGAATCATAGGCATTAGGGATCTCCTAGAGTCTTCCAAGAGGAGACCCTGGGAGTGGTCAACATGGAAAATTCTAGAACAGTGGTTCTCAACCTTCCTAATGCCATGACCCTTTAATACAGTTCCTCATGCTGTGGTGACTCCCAACCATAAAATTATTTTCATTGCTACTTCATAACTGTAATTTTGCTACTATTATGAATCATAATGTAAATATCTGATATGTAGAATGTATTTTCATTGTTATAAATTGAACATAATTAAAGCATAGTGATTAATCATAAAAACAATATGTAATGATATAGTGTGAAATATTTATTTCTAATGACACATAAATGAAATTTTGTCTTGAAGCATGGTGTAGCATGGGGAACCGTCTTCACGCCGGTACTCGTATGTGGGCGTCATGTGGGCGTATCTCTGTGTGGGCAGACCTGCCTTGAGACGGATAGAGGAGCATCAGAAATACGTGTTTTCCAATGGTCTTAGGTGACCCCTGAGAAAGGGTCATTCGACCCCCAAAGGGGTCGTGACCCACAGGTTGAGAACCACTGTCTAGAAGCTGAGGAACAGCCAGCAAGAGAACGGGATGGAGTTGCCAGATGGGAAGAGAATGACTGCTTCCTGTGCTTGTTTACTTAGAATGTGTGATTTACAAAGTACTTTCTCCTTCCGTTATTGCTTTGTCTTCCCTGTAGTCCCAGTGAGGTGGTAGGTGGTGAGCAGCCCTGGTGCCCGGATGAAGAATGCTGGCTTTGACAGAGCCCTTTCTGGGAACCCCCATTCTGGAGCAAAATCCCTTCATGCTAGTGGGTCTCGGATTCCCCTGGGGCTGGGGGTTCACTTTCAAATGCAGATCCTTGAGCTTCATCTTTAAAGCTGTTGAATATTCTCTCTGGGAGTGTTGCTGGAGGCCCTGGTGGGCTGCTAACCAAAAGGTTGGAAGTTCAAGTCCACCCATGGTGCCTTAGAAGAAAGGCCTGGCAATCTATTTCCAACAACTCAAGCACTGAAAGACGGGGGAGCTCAGTTTTATTCTGACACACAGGGGGATTGCCATCAAAGTCAACTCAACAGCAACCGGTCTGTGTGTCTCTGATACCAGCGATCAATAGCAAAACTACTCAAGGACAGGGTGTGTCCAGCCTCCCAGCCCCACGATGGAGCCCAGAAGGGAGAACATGAAAGCTGCCTTCCCCACACTGTGTGCCTTGACTTGCTTTGGAGCACTGAATATACCTGATGGCCCTGGGCAGCACAGGCCTGTATGCACCTAGCACACATACCAAGCTCCGAGGCACACGGAGACATAAGAGGCCAGGCAGTCCTTCAAGCACCTGTGGTGCTGGCAGGGAGCTAAGATAAGACTCGTTCATAAAGCAGGGCCCTCTCCAAAGGCAAACCCCACAGGGCAGAGTAGAACTGGCTTATAGAAGCTTTCCAGGGGGTGCGTCACTACAAGAGCAGGCTGCCACATCTCTCTCTCCTGGAACAGCCGGTGGGCTTGACCCACGGACTTTCCGGTTAGCAGCTGAGGGCTCAACCACAGTGCCACCAGGGTCTGTCAAAGCCCTGTGCCATACATGATTTATACACCCTTTGGATCCTATTTCTCTCCTCCATCCCCGTCTGCCCTGACCTGAACTGCTCCAACTGGCTTCAAGCTTCACTTTTTCTCATGTTAAGCACAGTCCATACTCCCTACAGGCCATGAGGAAACATCTTTTAAAGTATATTCTGGAAAAGATCATTTTCTTTAGAAATCCTTAAAGGATTTCATGTGCAGTTGGAATTATGTCTAACTGCAAAATCCCACAGGGCCTGAGCCAGCCACCTGCTTGGACAGCATCTCTGCCCTGCCTGCCTTGCTCCAGTGACCCTGGCTCTCACTCTGTTCCTCAAAGACCCCACACCCCTTCATTCCTGCCGCGGGGCCTGTATGTATGCTCTGTCCCTAACTGCCTCCTCTCTTCATCCTTCAGGTTGCTCAGCTCAGCCACCCTTGACAGAGAGGATCGCCCTACCCCTCTGGAGTTAGCAGAGCACCTGAGGTGACAAAGGATGGTCCTTGATCCTAGATTGCCCCAGCTAGAAAGAGCCTCCCTCCTCCTTCTCCAGACAGGGAACGACCCAGTCCATGATCTATAGCATTATCAACTGCAGAACTATAATGCCTGGTGTGTGTGTGTGTGTGTGCGTGCGTGCGTGCGTGTGTGTGTGTGTGTGTGTGTGTCTTTTGTTTTGTTTTAACGTACCAGCCCATGATCTATAGCATTATCAACTGCAGAACTATAATGCCTGGTGTGTGTGTGTGTGTGTGTGTGTGTGTTTTGTTTTGTTTTGTTTTAACGTACCAGCCCATGATCTATAGCAGTATCCACTGCAGAACTATAATACCTGGTGTGTGTGTATGTGTGTTTTGTGTGTGTGTGTTTTGTTTTGTTTTAATGTACCAGCCCATGATCTATAGCAGTATCCACTGCAGAACTATAATGCCTGGTGTGTGTGTGTGTTTTGTTTTATTTTGAAGTACCAGTACATGTTGACTGGGTTTATATGGTTTGGCCTGGCCTGGGTTTAAGAAAAGAAATAGAGGATTAGATCTTACAGCCAAGCCTAGTCAAATAATAGCCATAAAACATGCAAACGGACAACACCTTGCCCTGCCCTGCCCTGTCCTGAATATAAAGAGCTGGGCCATGTAGTTGATAAGCACTCAACTGCTAATCCAAAGGTTGGTAGTTCAAGCACACCAGCTGCCCCTCAGGAGACAGCTGTGGCAGACAGCTCCGGTGACTCAATTACAGCCTGGGGACTTCACGGGAGCAGTTTTACTCTGTCCCATGGGGTTGCTGGGATCGGCATGAAGTCGAGGACTGCAGAGGGCGTACAGGTCCCATCCCTGACCTCAGTAACAGACGCCTCAGAGACTCCGGCCAGAGGGCCAGACACCTACCTTTCTTCAGCGACACCTCCACCATGATCCTGTAATTGGACTTGACTGTGCTGGCGGGCGTCACGGGGCTTTCCACGGCGAAGGCGCTGCCGTCCTTAGTGGCGCACGTGCTGGAGCTCAGGGAGCGGCAGAGCGGCGGGGACAGGTGGCTGCACAGGGAGGGCGGGGCCGTCAGGCGCGTGCGCACGGTCAGCGTGAGGAGCCCCTTTTTGGCTTGCTGCAGGGAAGAGAGACAGTGCTGGAGCACTCCGCGTCCGCTCGGGGGGAGCTGATGAAGCTTGAAACCCACCCCCATTCCCCCACGTCCGTAGGAAGCCACGTCTTCAAGCACTGCGGCCACGTGCGTGGGTTTAAATGTATACAGGTAGAAATCAAAAATCAAAGTCGCTGCCTTCGAGCCAATGCTGATTCACAGTGGCTTCCCAGACGACAGCTGTTCACGGGAGTAGACAGCTCAGTTTCTCTCCCACAGAGCTGCTGGTGGTTTGGAACTGGCAACCAGGTGGATCACAGCCCACCTTGTGACCCCTGGACCACCAGGGCTCCTTAAATGCGCATGCACACACACCCGTGGGGAAAAGGGGGACTGCGAAAGTTCATAGACATTTTCCATTACCTTTTCATTTCGTTTTCCCACAGATTTTTATGAAGCCCCCTTGTATATGCAATATGTGCACATATATACAAATTTATACCAGCTAGTTATATAGATAAGGCGCCCTGGTGGCACAGTAGGTTGTGCATTGGGCTGCTAACTGCAAAGTCAGTGGTTCGAATCCAACAGTCGCTCCACAGGAGAACAACGAGGTTTTCTGCTCCCGTAAAGGTTCACAGTCTTGGAAACTCACAGAGGCAGTCCTGCCCTGTCCTACAGGGTAGCTTTCAGTTGGAACTGACTGGATGCAGTGGAGGGAACTGGATAGAGTTTTGAACTAAGTAGATGGAGCCTCAGAATATAAGTATTGGAAATTGTCTTAACATTTTCAAGCAAAGCTGAAAATATAACAAGAGGAGTACATAAAGTATTTTAAAAACCGTTTTGTAAGTTGTAAATGGTTTAAACATCCACAACAACAATCTTGATGACAATCCTTAACTCCACCCTGCTTCTTCGTAAGTTAGTTTTTCCATGTTGTGCAAGGTTGGCATCAGCTAGGTACCCCGGGGGAGAGGCTCCTACCTTCCAAACGTGTAGGTTTCAGTGGCGGAAGGTGATGCTGGGAGCCGTGGCTAGTGGTTTCAAACCGCGAGCCTTGTGGTGAACAGCCCGCCTGGAACCACCATGCCACCAGGACTCCTTTGAAGGAGAAACAGTCTTTAAGAAACAGTCACCTTAAATTTCTGCAAAGCATCCTGATGTGTTAGGCCAGCCACTGATTCGCCATTGAGTTCCAGAATTTCATCACCTGATGAGAGAGGGGAGGGGGGAGAGGGGAGGGTTGCTAAGAAGAGGGTTACCCAATGAAGGGACATTCATTCAGTGATCAAGAGGCAGGCAGGTGGCAGGCAGGAGAGCAACGCTTGGCCTTGCCTGGGACCTTCTGTCTTTCAGGAGGAGACCCGGTGTTTATTCCAAGCCACCAGACCGGGTCACGTCTCATCCTTGCCCAGGTCTTTGCATCACCTCCTCCCCTCCTGCCTCCTAGCCCTCTCACCATTTGTTCTGCTCCACCATCTCCCAATGCAGCATTCTTAGCATCTTCCACATGGTCCCATGTGGTTAAATGCCTACTGGAGACAGTCTCTCAATGAAAGTGTATATTTCCTACCTTCTTCATCTGCCTCTTCCTCATCTTTCAGCCCCTGATGCCCTATCTCCCTTATCTTCTCCTGACAGCCTGGACCTACCCCTGTCAAAGCATTTGTCAGCTGGAGTGGTAAGGGGGGGACCTTAGTCTCTCCCCAACCAGGCTGGCAGCTCCTCGGCATGAGGGACTTTATCTTATTAATGGACACAGTCCCACAGCCAACTCTGTGGGTGGCCTATAACATGGGGTGAGGGGACATTTCCAGAATACAATTTAGGGTCCATTTGACAGAAGAGGAAGGTGAACATAGAGAGACCCAAGGTCACAATGGTTGAAAAATAATAATGAAGACTTGACATAGTCAAACCCAAGTCCTTTACTCAAAAAATGTTATTTCTATGAAGATAAGGTCTTCTCTATGCACAAATCTAGTTGTATGTGGCTAGAAAACCGATTTCTCCCCGCTAGTCAATTAATTCCATACATAATCAGGGAACAATTTCTCGGTGCTCAGCACTGTTAAATACTTCAGATGTAATCCCTTATTTTCACACTGACTGCTAAGTTTGGCTGTTGTGGGGAGATGTGCTGTTACCTAATTATGGTTCTCCAGTAGATCATTGTTATCCATTGAATTGTGTCTCCCATCTCCACCTCCAAATCTATGTGATAAATTCTTTTCTCTGCACCTCTGATTGCAAACTCATTTGGGACTGAGTTTTCTTTGTTAGGGGAGAAAGTCAGGGCTGGAAAGAGTTACAGTCTCAGGAACTCACAGGGGCAGTTCTACCCTGTCCTGTAGGATCTCTGAGTCAGCATCGCATCAATAACAGTGAGTTTGGTTTTTCTAGTTGTTTTTTCCCCCCCATGTTATGTCAACAAGGCAACATTGGAGTGGGTAGAGTCACGTCTGAGATACTAAAGAAGTTAAGCAAGCAAGCAATTGAGTGGAGATGGGGAAGAGAGATGCCACGCCACTCCAAGGAGCTAACACATAGAAGCTGAAGGAACAAACACCTCCCTCAGCGCCAGCAGAGAAAGCAGGCCTTCCCTGAGAGCTGCTGCCCTGAATTCTAACTTCTAGCCTCCTGACTGTGAGGAAATAAGTTTCTGTTTGTCAAAGCCACCCCCTTCCAGTAGCACTAGATACCAGACAAGAACGCGTCCTTTCACTGGTGGCTTTTACGTTGGTTGACTTTTTCCTCTTCTTTGATATTTTGCAAACTTCAATATGGCATTCACGGCTGAAGGGAGTTCATTGTGTTTCCTCAAGCTAAACTTTCATACCATAAATAGTTCTAGAAAATTCTTAGCCACAATCTGTGTATATTATTTCTTCCTCATTTACTCTATTCTTATCTGTATGCGTTCTCCTCCACCCATTTTTTGCTTCCCCGTTTCTCTGTGTACTAGACTGGGTAATTTCCACTTCACTAATTCTTGCATCTGCATCTAATCTCTCTTTAACCCATCTACTAAGTTCCCTAATTTCAATGAGTATGCCTTTCTAAAAGCTTTTTTCACACCCACATAGTTTTTCAGCTCTTTGTTCATTTCTTATAGCTTATATGCCTTTCTTTATTTTTAAAAAAAAGGTTTTGTTTGTTTTTTCTAATCATTTTATTAGGGGGTTCATACAACTCTTATCACAATCCATACATACATTAATCGTGTAAAGCACATTTGCACATTCATTGCCCTCATCACTCTCAAAACATTTCCTCTCCACTTAAGCCCCCAGCATTAGGTCCTCATTTTTCCCCTCCCTCCCCACTCCCCACTCCCTCATGAGCCCTTGATAATTTATAAATTGGTATTTTGTCATATTTTGCCTTGTCCAACGTCTCCCTTCAACCACTTTTCGGTTGTCCATCCCCCAGGGAGGAGGTCACATATAGTTCCTTGTAATTGGTTCCCTCTTTCCAACCCACTCTCCCTCTACCCTCCCTGTTTCGCCACTCACACCACTGGTCCTGTAGGGCTCATCCGCCCTGGATTCCTTGTATTTCCAGTTCCTATCTGTACCAGGGTACATCCTCTGACTAGCCAGACTTGCAAGGTCCAATTCGAGTCATGGTAGTGGGGGTGGGGAGGAAACATTTAGGAACTAGAGGAAAGTTGTATTTCTCATCGTTGTTACATCACACCCTGACTGGTTCATCCCTCCCCGAGACCCCTCTGCAAGGGGATCTCCAGTGGCCTACTCATGGGCTTTGGGTCTCCACTCAACACTCCCCCCATCATTCACTAAAAAGAAAGGTTTAAACACACTGAGATTACCATCTCTTTCAGAGCACTCTTTTATCTTGTGTTTTTGAGGGCTAATGCTCCTCTCCACTACCTAGGCCAACATACACACTTCGTAACTTCCTAATGTAAAATATGTACGTAATAGATTATTGTGAGCTCGTTTTATGGGCGTTTGCTCTCTGTGGGACTCACACAGAGCACACATTGCCAACAAAGAGCTGTCCCTTCTTTCCGCGCGGCTCCCCGTGTGTTTCCCGGCTTCCAGGCTGGTTTTAACCATCTCTTTGCATGGAGATTGCAGAACTCGGCGGAAACAGCAAATACGGCTTCCATACTTATGTAAGGGCACCTTGTAAAAGGAGTGCTACAAGACCACAGGAACCTTGGTTAAACAAAAGTTCCCAAATGTGGAGCAATAATTTCCCAACACGCCCTCCATCGTGGCCTGTGCACTTCTGACAGCGGTGTTTCCTTCTAGTCCTTCTCTGAGGAGTCTGCACTCTTCCATGGCGACCATGTGTGGCAGTTACATTCTCTCTGGTCAACTTGCGAAGGAGTGGAGTCTATCTAGCCTGTCAATCAGGTCATAGCCAATGAGGCCTCCGTGTGGGCATGGCCTCCTGAGGAACTCCTGTCTTCCTCCCTGGAGGTGGGACACACACTCTCTCTGCTTTGTCTTCCAGCCGACAAGACACATGGAGCTATGCTGATGGAGCCAGGGCCCTGGAGTTGGAGGAGTCACATGGAGATCCACACCAGCGCTGAGATGCTTCCACTGCCACTGGATCCACAAGACTTTCCACCCATGGGCCTGTGATCTACAGTGAACCCTCGCCACTTGGCGCTTCGACTTCCGCGGCTTCACTCTATCGCGGTTTTTGCGTAACAGCGCATGCTCTGTCATTACTGCCACTGATTGGCTCATATTGTACACGCTTGATGCCATAAATAATATAATAAATAAT